GTTATCTTGAGTTATTAATTTGTATATTCAATCGCTTTTTACTTAGCAGTTTAAAATGTTGAAAACTTGAGATTTTACAAATCACGGCCGTTTTCTCTGGCGAGTAGTACAATTGTACACAATGTTTGCAGGATTGTGATCCTGCGTAGGATCAAAATGAGGTCATAGGATTAAATCGTAAATAGGATCAGTAGGATCGAAATTGTAGGATCGTAAAATTAATTATACATGTTATATAATTAATTACTTTGATTTGCAGTTGTAATTATTTTTAGATAAAGTATTTAACATTCAAACAAAAAGTAATGTGTAAATTCATTTTTCTTATATGCATTTTTCATAACTTTTTAATAAAAACTCTTCTCTTACAGTTTTTCTTTTTATTTTATTAGAAACTTTCTAAAATATATTTTTATGAGCAATAAAAATTTCCTCAAACAATATTAGCCTCAATTAAATGTGAACCAAAAAAATAAGAGGAAAAAAAAGTCTCAATAAGCTTAATTAATTTTTTGTAATTGATGAATGACAAACTCGCACCGATCTTACGATCCTAATCGATCTTGTACGATCCTGACCAATCCCACTTCGATCCCACTGTAAAATTTGAATTTGATTGATCCATGATTGATTTAAGTACATAAGATTGTAGGATTGGACGATCTTACGATTCAGGATCGCGAGTTTGTAAATTATGATTATACATTCCTTCATCGATGCTAATTAGCGGTTGCAGAACGAACTAATCTTAAGACCTTGATTGACACATTACATCATTAGTATTCTCCGTTGTAATAGAAAAAAAAAATCTTAGATACAGCTCACAAAGGTACTGGAGATTGATTTTACTGGTGGCCAACACTTTGGGTACATTTGTTTGTATCAAGATAACCAGCCTAAGGACATTCCTTCGACGACTTTGTCATTCTGACGATGTATTCTTCGTGTTCTAAAATTATTGTCCAGTTTAAGATTTTACTTTTAGTACAATTTGAACTAAAAATGAACACTCAAACTAGACAATAATTATGGGATGGAAGGAGTATATTATTTTAATAATTCTTATTATATAGAGAGGCAGGATATCATTTATAAAACTCATTATTTGTATCTCTTTTTTTTCCCCCTCGTTACAAATTTTATAGTTTTATTATCAAGTCAGTGTTAAGGTTTTGTAACATCTGGCGTGCAATTGGTACAGCGAGGGGAAAAAAAAAAAAAAAAGGCTTCCTTGTTTCACAGGTAAGTAGTTAACATGCACGATTTATGATGCTACATTAGAAAGATCAGTTGGGTTCATTAATTTCCATGGAAGCGATGTTACTATGTCAATATTAAGAAACTGTATTCTCCCACACGTATTGTGTGCTAACACCAGAGTTTATTTACATAATCAGCTTCGAAAGCATGTTACGTATATACGACTTCCACTTCCAGTCGTGTGCGTATCATCAATATCATAAAGTTCATATATACTTCATATTGCACAACTTCCCATCCATTAAAAAAAGGACACCAAATGAAAACGCAAGAAAACGAACAAACCCGAGTTGAACTCGGGGTATCGATATGATCATCATCACCAATTTAGTGTGTTACGGGTTAGATGGAAGAATAAAGCTCGATTGTTATTACATTGAAGATTAATGAACTCTGAACTCTCCTTTTAAGGATTGGCTCTAAGACAATCTAATTAATTTTGTCTTCCCCCCTAAATGACCATGATTACCTTTCCTTGTCGGGATCGATTCGACTATAATTCTTGGAGTGAAAATCAAGAAAAAGGACTAAAAGCGAGGCATTAAAACCGGCGGTTAAGCACCACCCAAGTATCCCGGAGCAACCCGGACCCGTAAAATGATAATAGAGCATCAACCCGGACACGACGAACCCGAAAACGAACTGCATAATCTGACTGTCGGTCACAAACCTCTTCCACGTGGGCCGAATTCCAAGGGCCCGCAACAAATAATATCCGTACATCAAAACATGCACGGAAGCATTGGTCACAATACCCACCGGAAACATCGTCTGCGACGTATAAAGCCAAAGGTAACACATAATCACCACCGCTGCGTGGTGGTACACGTGAAGGAACGACAGGCGCCGCCGGCGAGACTTGGGCCCGCCGAGGATAATCAAAAGGGTGTCCACGAATTCCAGAGGCTTGGACAAGTAGAAGACTTGGGCCCAGAAGAATGTTGGCCCGCGATGGTTTGGCTGGACCGGCATGCAGACGATCCAGGTCCAGTCATTGTTGGGCATTTGGTGTAAGGTGGAGAGGGAGCAGCCGACGGCGATGAGGAGGGAGAGGAGGCAGAGGATGATGTTGTGTACGGCGGTGATGCCGCGGAGGACGGCGTTGGGTAGTTCCGGCTTGACGTACTTGTGGAGGAGGAAAGTGAGAGAGAGGTAAGTTAGGACTGTGGAAGTTAGAAAAAGGAAGGAGGACCCAAATGTGGTATCTTTTTTCCATTCAAATTTGCTCACAATTGGGTGGTCCACCAGCCAGTAATGGATGAATGAGTAGAGGTTTTTCATTTTCATGAAGAAAAATCAGAGCCACCGTGAAGCCGGCGGTGGTGGGTGGATGTATATATATATATATGATAGTGTCAACTGAGTGTGCATATGAATTTGTAGACTCTACTAGTATAATAGTTACCCGAAGGATCTCTCCATGTATATATAAATCCAATGTTAAAGTGCTTAATTTGTCTTTTTCAATTTTTGGTTGGTAATTTGTAACATCACGTAATAATTAAGACGTGACGTGTAAATAAATGTTCGTCAAATATGTAAAAGATGTAAATTTTTTGAAGAATTGCAATTTAATTCCGTTAAAAAAAGGTTTTTTTAAAAAAAAAAAAAAGAAAAAAGAAAGAACACTAAAAATGTAATGAGGGAAAAATTTATATAGCATTTATCGCTTCAGAAAAATAATTTACATTATTACAATTTATGAATTGTATTGTGGTTGCAAAAAAAATTACTAATTACAACGTGGACAATTTTTATTGAACAGACATCTCAACTCTCTAGTATTTAAACTACAAAAGTAGAAAGTTATAACAGTCAACATTCATCACTTAAAAGTGCGATTAGAAATGACCTCTTCAACACTAAGATCTAACTGTAGGAGGGTTATCAACTCTAGTTTGAATTGAAGCTTCAAGCAAAACTTGATTCTCCGCAAGCACATAAAAGTTTGTGACGGTGTTTTGCAAATGAGTTATTAGATTAAATTAAACAAAATGAAAGTTGTTTTGCTAAGTGAGTATACACATCATTCACATAAAATGTGCCATGATCCATGAACATTGGGTCAGGTAACAAACGTGGGTAACAACCATTGCGAAGTGTTGATTACGTAGACGTCTCATTCTAGTTTTGCCTTCCTAAGAATAAAAATCTTTTGTCTTCTGATGTAGTACATGAATAATGCCACTGTTTATCATAAAAAGTCGAGTTGCTTCATGAATTAAATCTTTGATGGTGTATAAGGAAAACGAAAAGGAGCGGGACGGAAAACAAAATCACGCAAAATATGCTAATTAAACAAATAAACTGTGTGTACCGGCTGTGCATGTCCCTCGACTAATGTTCATAATACTCACTCCTGAAATAGTTTTTCTTTTCTTTTTTCTTTTTTTTTTTTTGAAAAGAACTCCTGAAATAGTTGTCTAACTCAGATATTCACTTTTAATACAAATTGTACTTTCATTGTTCTAAAATAATTGGCCAATTTGTATTTTCCATTTTAGTTTAGATTGTACTAAAAACAAAAATCCAAACTAAGCAATTATTTTAAGACTAAAAAGGTACTAAAAATAAAAGGCCAAACTAAATAAGCATTTGAGAACAGGAGCACATACTACTCCACTCTGTGTTATTTATAAAACACAATTAAGTTCAAGTAGTGTTTTACATATAAAACAGAACCAAACTACATTCATCCGGGGGAAAAAAAAAGCGTTATTGTGAAATGGCCGGAATGGATGCATTAACAATTTTGGAGAGTTGAAATGGCTTAGCAAACGCACTTGAACGTTATTGTGATTCATGTCATGTTTCGGACTCCGACGGAGATTTGTTGCTTCTTCATCTTCAAATCTAAGTATACGATTAAGGCATATATTAGGGTCTTTCTTTTGGTGATATTTAGAGGATGACGGCTTTAAAGGACAGGAAATGAGAGATAATGTGAAGCTACTATGTATGTATTCCTCTGTCTCTGAGAAAATAGACTATATTATATATAAATTTTATAGTGTACTGCTTTTATTACGTTTCACAAATCAGAATATGTTGATTATTTTCTTGGCAAGGAATGAAGGAGTATATAAATTTTAACGAGAAATGTCAAGGGAATTAATTTTTTTAAAAAAAGTGTGATAGGGGGCATAATATATTAGTTTAGTTATTACATTATCAAAGATCAACACCTTTGATAACGGATAATTAGATTACTCATTTTGGGGGGACTAACTGATTACTGCCTTTTTTTTTAAATCGAAGACACGCCTCAAACCTATAAATGTTTCTCCATTTGGCAACATAAAGTAAAGGGTGCCTGGTTCAACTGAGTGAATGATACCTTAGAATGGGATTTATATACTTTAATTAGGTGGAATTCATAGAATAAAAACGGAGTTTTATTGTTATAATTACTAATTAGCATACCCATGAAAATGATGTGAAATGAGTTTTGTTGGATTGAATTCCAATTTTTTGGGCTCATTCAAATCCCAATATAATATCTGAACTTAGCACTCATTTACTTGAATTGACTTTCAAACCCATTCTCTTGGTTCGAAGTCCTGAAACAAGCACCCCCTAATAAGTTGATTACTAGAGGTTGTCTTTTTCCAATCTTAATGATATATTGCTAGTCAATTAAACGACATCTACCTTTGAATTATTCTAATGAGAATGTCGTCACAGGCTTTATATCGCTCAAAATTCAAGATTCATGATTCATTAGCTGCCGGACTTTAAAAATCGAAACCATTTTCAGATACCACCTGCGCGACAACGTTAACATGTCGAATAAGCAATTTCATATCTGATGCATTTTTCCTCTGATAATTGCTGGCACTGTTGACTTTTGACTTGAAATATTGGTTTCTTTCATTTTCAAACCTTCCATACAACTTGGTAAACCATCTCAAGATATAAACAACACTCATAACTCCATCATTCATCATCAAGATGGGAACCAACTTACTAACCCAAAACCTAAGATTAATTTCCCTTGTCATTTACAGCATAATCCTTGCCATTGGCAACTGTGGCGGCCCTTTAATCCTTCGTTTGTACTTTGTCAAAGGAGGCCAAAGTGTGTGGTTATCAAGCTGGTTACAAACCGCCGGATTCCCTATCCTTTTGATCCCACTCTTAGCTTCCTATCTCCACCGCCGTCAAGCTCGAGCCAGCCGGAAGCAGCTAATCTTGATGGATTTTCAGATATTCGCCGGGGCTGCCTTTGTCGGAACCCTAACCGGAGTAGCCAATTATTTTTACGGGTATGGCGTCGGCCGCCTTCCGGTCTCCACTTCTTCCATACTCACAGCTACTCAACTAGGTTTTACTGCCATATTTGCTTTCTTTATTGTCAAGCAAAAGTTCCATGCATTTTCGGTCAACGCCGTCGTGTTGTTGACCGTTGGACCGCTGCTTTTGGGATTGCACGCGAACGGTGATCGGCCTGCGGGCGAATCGAATAAGCTGTATGTTTTAGGGTTTATAATGATGATCGTGGCCGCCATGTTGACCGGAATTATTTTGCCGACGGTGGAGAAAATTTATAAGAAGTCAAAGCAGGAAATCACGTTTACTTTAGTTCTGGAGATGCAGTTTGTCATAAGCTTCTTTGCTACTCTTTTCTCAACTATTGGGATGATCGCAAATCATGATTTCCAGGTTAATCAACTTCTCTTTCTTTTAATGTAGTTTTCTTCTTATTTCTTCTAACACTAACAATATTCTTACTGAATGCTGTTTTAGTAATATACATATTTGTCTCCGATAATAGATTTTATTTGAAACCAATAAAATTAGTGAACTAAGCTAAAATAATTCAACGTGTCACAACTATGTATTTGATTATTTGGACGGTGGCATTAGAACATGACTCGGATAATATGTAATCAAGGTTTTGCACCAACCTTGAACATGTCTAATTTTGTTTAACCTTCTTTTCTTTTTTTTCTTTTTTTTTTTGAAAATCAGATATACGATATCAAAATTAAAGTTGAAGGGAGTTTGAAGTGATAATATACTCTCGGAAAATCCTTTTTCTTAACCGAGCTATATATTTTGAGTACCTCATGTATGTTTATGCAGGAAAAGTTGCATTTTATTACCGAAATTTTCCAGCTGGGGCAATTAAATTTTTATTTTTATTTTTGGCTAATATCCCCTTAAGATTTAAGATGGTTTTTTTTAAAAAAAATATGATTTTTGCCCCACCTAAATTGGAAATCTTAAGGGGCAGGCATGCTAAATTACTATAGTATGATGAAGATCCCCAGAATTCTGGAAGAATGAATCATTTCTTAAGACAGTATTGGTGTGACTTCAATCATCTGGGAAAGCTAGTTTTACCCGGTCAAATACTCCATGTCATTGTTGCTTTATAAGAATTAAATTTGGATTTAATTTGTCTCACGAGTGCGACCAAAAAGAGTACATGTTATTCCAAAGGAAAATAGTTTAAGCCCTTGGGCAAGTGTATGTACTAACAAATTAATACTTCAAAAAGAATATTGGTATACATAATACAAATTCAACTCTACTTTATGTTTCTATTCATATGCACTTATTCAAAGTCATTACCAATTCACTAATGACTAAATCTCATGTCTCATGTGATGAGTAGCTACAGATGAAAATAACAGTTAAATTAATAAAGATAAATATCTTACTCCTTGAAGAAGAGCACTTAAGCCAGATTTGCAGTCTTGTTTAGTCATTATTAAATTGATGAATTTTGACTAGAGCCTCTTTCCAGGTAGCCTCACTTGACCGCCAAACTGACATATTAGTTTAATTACTTCGAAATTAAATAACCATCTTTAGAAAAAGGACGAGTTTGACAATCATTTCTGAAAATATATACATGTTCCTAATTTGGATCGTCTGAATTGTTTGCGGTTTATTTATTAAATTCTCACCTCTAACAATCCAGATTGAATTCATATAGTCTGATTAAAGGCTTTCAAAATCGGTGCATACTATACCAAAAATAATCATCACGAGTTTTTTTTCTTACATTAATTGTATAACTGCAATCATTCGAACCATACGGCATGTATATTTGCCAAAGATCATAACCGTGATTTTTTTTTTTTATTTCATATATGTAGTCTATTCCGAGGGAAGCAAGAGCATATGAGCTTGGGGAAGAAAAATATTATTTGGTAATATTTTGGAGCGCCATTATTCTTCAATGTTATTTCCTGGGATCAATTGGAGTAATATTCTGCGCTTCATCATTGGTATCGGCCATTATGATAGCCGTGTTGTTACCAGTTACAGAAATTTTAGCTGTTTTTTTCTTCAATGAAAAATTCCAAGCTGAAAAAGGTGTTGCACTTTTCCTATCTCTCTGGGGATTTGTTTCTTATTTTTATGGCGAGATCAAACACAACAAGAAGGCCAATAGTTTGGACAAAGAATTGGATGCTGCTCAATCTCAACCAATGTCAGAAGCCGTAATAAGTAATAACAGATGTTCCATGATGGAATCTATATAATTGGTCAAATGATCTTGTTGATCACATGTGCTTAAATTCAATACTCACTTCTGCGAAGAAATTTACAAATAGTTAATCGTTTGTATTATTCCAGTCAATTGTGAGGGACAGTGGATGACGGAACAAGTGTTTGTTTTATGATCCAATTTTTCTCTATTTTAATGTGATGGAGACATTAAATTTTTCCGTGTGAAACAATACACGTACTCGAGACAGACCTAAACTATTACTCCCTCCGTCCCATAATTATTGTTCAGTTTGAGATTTCACTTTTAGCATAATTTGAACTAGAAATTAAAACTCAAACCAGACAATAACTATAGAACGGAGGGAGTAGTACATTTACGTGTGTTTCATATTCAAATGTTCAGTGGTCCAAAGGCTTCCTACCTGCTTGAATGGTCACAAACTTACCTTCGCAATAACTATCCATCCATCTAAATTATGGGGTTTAAGCATAAATATAGCTTTCTGTTACATGCGCATAGTAAAATTGTTGTGCAACCAGTACGTGATATTATGATATATAGATATATATATATATATAAATATTTCCAGCGTATCTATAGAAAAATAAATTTTATTTTTCACACTCAGGTACAAAATTACTGAAGTACAAATTCGCCATGAAGCATAAAAGAATTACACACACTCAAAGTGACATTGCTATTTGATGTAGTCCTACCTTTTTTTTCCAGACAAAAATGTATTACCTTCTCTTCACAATATAAGTCCATTTTAAGTGGCACAAAGATTAATAAAAGCTAACAATTAATAACTATATATAAAAGTTCCAATTTACTCCAAATTAATAAGACTAACTACTTAAAAAGTATAAATTGGGATTCCGTAGATACTATTACAAAGACAAAGGTAATTTAGACAAAATAAAAAAAAAAAATTATACATTGAGAAAAAAAGACTTATATTTTGACATTGTTCAAAATAGAAACAGAACTTATGTTGTGAAAAGGGGTAGTATACCCTAGCTTTTTGAGCCTCTAAAATGTTGGTTAAATTGTTTTTTTACTGCAAGTTTTAGTTAGAAAAATAAAATTTAAACTATAATTTCTGATTTGTTTACATTACTTTAGTTAAGATTAGTTTTTGAGATTTTTAGAACTTGATCGTAGATTTTTAGAGATATTTTAAGATTTTAGGAGTTATTTTCTTTTTTGGTTATTGTAGAGTTGTCTATATATTAGATTTCTCACGAAATAAAAAGTAACCATCTTCTGATAAAAATTTTAAGTTCAAAAAATCTCTGCTCTTTTTCATCTCTTTCCCAATAAAGTGGTATCAGACCTTAGCTTCAATTAGGGGGACCTGTGTGAGTTAATTAGTGAGGGCCTTCTAACAAACAAATCCTTTTAGTCAATCTTCTTTTATCAATGGAAGGAGGGAATAATTTCATGTTTGCTCTTCTAGTTTTCAAAGAAGAAAATTATCATATTTGGGTTGTCAAAATGGAAGCCTATCTAGAAACAAATGGATTATGGGAGTTGCTGGAAAATGATGAATTACCACTTCCTGAAGATCCAACAATTGCACAATTAAAACAATTCAGGGAGGCTAAAAAGAGGAGGAACAAGGCCAAGACCTACATTCACTCTGTTGTATCAGAAGAGGTGTTCACAAAAATCATGGCTTGCGAGACTGCTAAACAGGCATGGGATATATTAAAACAAGAATATCAAGGCAATGTGAAGACAAAGCGCATTCAAATCTTGAATTTTAAAAGGGAATTCAAGACGCAGAAGATGTCGTAGCCAAAGCCATTGAAGGACTACATAGATCGATTGATGAAGGTAGTCAATAAAATCAGACTTTTGGGAGAACAACTTCCTGATAGCCGGGTGGTTGAAAAAATTTTGGTAACTTTGCCTGAAAGATTTGAGTCTAAAATTTCTTCTCTTGAAAAAACTAGAGATTTATCATAAATATCTCTATTTTCAACCTTTGAAGCTCAAGAACAAAGAAGAGTTTTCAGAAAGGAAAAAGTAGATCATATCATTAAGGGAATTTATAAAGTGGGTCAAATTGGTAAAGGTAAAAGGTGGACCGGGAAGGCAATTGGAGATAGTGACAGCAAAGGAAAATATCTTCCTTGTAAATATTGTAAAAAACTTTTTTATTTGCCATAATAGTTTTGGTTTAGGCCTGATGTTCAATGCATGAGTTGCAAAGAAATGGAGCTCATTTAAAAAGTGTGCAAGAACAAGCAACAAATTAATTTTTTGAATGAAGAAGATGAAGATAAAAATGAAAATGAAGATTTGATTTGAAGATGCAGGGATCTATATTAAAAAAAAAAAAAAAGAGAAAATTTGTTGGTTAAATTTTTTTTTACTGCAAGATTTAGTTAGAAAAATAAATTTAAATTACAATTTCATATTTGTTTAGATTATTTTAATTAAGATTAGTTTTTGAGATTTTTAGAACTTGAACGTAGATTTTTTGGAGATATTTTAAGATTTTAGGAGTTATTTTCTCTTTTGGTTATTGTAGAGTTGTCCATATATTAGACTTCTCATAAAATAAAGTACAGGAACCCTCTTCTGATAAAACTTTCAAGTTACAAAAAATCTCGGCTCTTTTTCATTTGTTTCCCAACATAAAAAGATGTAACGCCTCTGAATTTTATAAAATTTAATTACTTTGAAAATTAACTAGCAAAAAGAAATTAAAATACTACTCAGTATTATTTTCTTTTCACAAACAAACTGTTCTTCTCTTTTAAGGAAAAATACACGTTAAGAAGTTCATCATACTTACTACATGAAAATTTTTTTATTTCTTTCCCCCGAATTCGTGATTATAAATGTGGTAATAGATGGGGAAAAATAAAGAGTCAAAATATCGAAAATCATCTTCGTTCTGGATCACTAACATTGCCGAAAAAGAAACAAAAGTTGTACTACCTCAGTGGTTGATTAATTAACGACCCTGAAAACTCATGAGAAATCATGGTTGGCTTGCAAGGGCAATCAAGATCCGGATAATGTTATCCAAAATCTGCCGCTCTAACTTAAGTTCCGGCGGCTCCGCCGCCCCCAAATTAACACCGCAAGCATCAACTTCGTCAAGAGCTGCCGATGCAAAAATGTTCATCCGGCCCGGAAAATTTTGCAGGTTATCAGGTGACCCGCTGGAAACCACCGAAGCCCTGGCGTGTTCCAGGTAGGCAATCGACGTGTTGATGTTCTTCATGCACGCTTCCAACTGGTGCCACAACGGTGGATTTTGTGGTTTTAGGGTTCCGGCCAAGGTCATGGTGGAAGTCGCATTGGATTTGGCTTTGTGTAATGTGATCCGGGCTAACCCTTTTAGGGTTGTTGCATTGTCGAAACGTGGATCCGAATGCAGGAAATTCACGCAAAATGGCGGGTCGATCGTCGTGTTGCAAATCGCATTGATATTAAAGGGTGCTGAATTGTTATTGATCAATGGCGGTGCTGATATGGGTGATGAATTATTGATCAACGGTGCCTTTATCGGCGCTGATCCGGGCGATAAATTGTTCAAGGGTGCTGATTGTGGTGCTAAATTGTTCAAGGATGATGATTCTGGTGGTTTGGCCTCTTGTGCTTGTAATACATCAAAATTGTTGTTCAAGAGAATGGCTCCAAGAAAGAGCACGACAAAGAATTGTGATTTCATCGTGTTAACTACTTTTGTTTCTTTTTATGTTTTCGGATTTTCCTTGTGATCAGTCCAATATTTTACTTCTTTGGTTATGCATTTATGTATCAACAAACAAAAAGTATCGGCCCTTAAATTTCTGTTTTCATGCGGTGGTTATCTCCTTTGCGACGTTACCTCTTCCATTTGCATTGGTCAGAAATTATATCTTGTTATTATTCAAGTCTAGAAACAATTTTTTTTTGGGTACTGTTATTCTATAAGTTTAAAATCCGCGTAGATAAATTGGAACACATTTAATCTAATGTCACTACGTGTCTGAAAAGTTCGATTATTCATCTAAATTTAGCAAATCATTTTATATTCCACATTTTGGCTTCCTATACATTCTCTCAACTAGCAATTTAGTGGTTCCATTTGGAGTGCATTATATATGGTGCCGGAAAACATTCACTTCTATACCCATCGGGCCCTCTTTTGTTAGGATCTCCCATGTTGCCGCTCCTTTTTTGTTCTCAATTTCCTGGAAATCATCGGTTGTCGCTGTTATATGTTAATTATTCCTCTAGCTTCTTATACTCTTGAAGGCTGCTTGTTGCAACTTCAGACTTCAAGAGTAGTTCATTTGCTAGCTTGAAGAAAATGAACGGTTTGGGACAACTGCGTATTTTTCCTCCAAACATTTCTTGCCTTTCTGAAAGGGATTCTCGGTGTCACTTGAAACTCAAACCCCAGAAGTGGAATTCTCCTAAACGTTTTTGAACTTTCGCTTTTAAGAAAATAAGTTTGATGTAAAGCGCAATATTCGACAATAAAGATTCTACAAGAATCAATCCTAGGAGATGAAGTATTGAATGAAGAGAAGGAATTCTTGGAAAACAAGATTTCTGTAAAGAACATCGTTTCTGTATTTTTCACCAACCACTTATGGATTCTTTTACATGTATATATATTTTGCTTCTAAACTGAACACCTAATTCTTTACAGAAAGAAAGAAAACACTTCTAATCTAATCCATTGATCTATACAACCGACTTAATAAACCAACTCAACCAACGTCCAGGATTCAAGGAACTTTGAAGTCTGCGGATTGCTGACATGGCTTGCCACACCTTCTAGATGGATTGATATGTGCTCCTGAGACACGGGTGACTTCGGGTGCTACTTGGTCAATTGCAGAATCCTGAGACCATGTGTGTGAAGTCGTTGCTGCTGCTGCTATTGAAGTTGATGCTGCTGCTGCTTTTGTTGATGAAGAATCCAATACCCCCTCCTCAAGTGGAGCATCCCATAAGCTCAACTTGGATAGAATGTAATTGAAAGCAGTAGCAGGAAGAGACTTTGTAAAAATATCAGCTAATTCTTGGGAGGAATTAACATGATGCGGCAAGATAAAAGCATCCTTGAACTTGTCTCTTATTACATGACAATCGATCTCTATGTGCTTAGTCCGTTCATGAAACACAGGATTTGCTGTAATGTCTATTGCTGCCTGACTATCACAGAAAAAGAATGGGAAGTTTCAGAGGAACCTGGAAATCATGGAGCATATAAGTGATGCACACATCACTGAAGTTCCCGAACTGTAGAAGCCATCGCCCTGTATTCGGCCTCTGCTGATGAACAAGAGATGGTGGATTGCTTCTTGGCTTTCCAGGATATAAGGCTGCTACCCAGGAAGATGCAATATCCTGTAATGGAATGCCTTGAAGTACGACAAGCTCCCCAATCTGCATCACTATAGGCCGTGAGAGACAAGGAAGTGTGACTTGAATAAAATAAACCTCTTGACGAACAGCCTGACAAATTTTCAGAAGATGAATTGCTGCACTCCAATGTGAATCATGAGGTTTATGAACAAACTGACTAAGTTGTTGGACTGAATAAGTGAGATCTGGTCTTGTGTAATTCAGATACAACAAATGACCAATTAATCTCCTGTACTTCTCTGGATTATGGTACAAAGGAGTTTCATCTTTACCTTCTGAAACAAACTTCAACTCCCTTCGAAAAGGTGTAGCAGTAGCAACACAGTCAAGCATTCTTGTATCTTGAAGTAGGTCAGTAACATACTTCTTTTGGCTCAGATATATTCCAGATGTAGAGCGTGCTATCTCCATTCCCAAGAAATATATGGCCATTCCAAGATCTTTGATACTGAAAGCATCATCAAGAAAATGCTTCACCTTTTGTATTTCAGTATCAAAAGTGCCTGTAATCAAGACATCATCCACATATACAAGAAAAAACAACTGGTACTGAGGATGATGTAAAGTAAACAAACAATGATCATGATATGACTGAGTAAATCCATAATCATGAAGCTTAGAAGTAAATTCCTTATTCCATGGTGTGCTGGCCTATTTCAGTCCATATAATGATTTCTTCAACAAACAGACTTGACCCTTCTTGGCCTTATCATAACCAAGTGGTGGATGCATATATACCTCTTCATCAAGAATTCCATGCAAAAATGCATTGTTAACATCTAGTTGAAACACTGACCAGTTTCTGATAGCTGCAAGTGCAAACAAGATCCTGACAGTAACTACCTTAGCTACTGGTGAAAAAATCTCAGTAAAGTCTTCTCCTTCTACTTGTGTCTTAGCTACTAAACTTTCTTTGTAACGTTCAACAGAACCATCTGGATTACACTTTACCTTATACACCCATTTATAACCGACTGCTTTCTTTCCTGCTGGCAAAGCTGTTAATTCCCAAGTACCATCATCTTCAAGAGCTTTCAGTTCCAAGTTCATTGCTTCTACCCACTTAATGTTTGTTCTGGCCTGATTATAGTGTGTAGGTTCATGTATAACAGACAAATTTGCTACAAAATCATTATATGCATGACTAAAAATGCAAGTGCTGTCAGAAGGAGAAAAGATAGATGATTTTGATTCACAATGAAAAGTATGAAAATCATCCGTCCAGGCAGGTGTTTTGATATTTCTGGTACTGCTTCTTAAAGGAGGAGGAGAAGGAATGAAGTGATCCATTGTAGGTGAATGAGAATCTATATGAGATGAAGAATCTGGAGGAACAAAATATGAATTTTCAGATTCATGAGATAATGAATCTTCACAAGGAATACTCACAACAGGTAGAGGAATAGCATTACTAATTTCTGAAAATAGAAGGAAATGTGGTTTCATGAAATACCACATCCCTGGAAACAATGGTTTTGTTTAAGCTAGGACAGTAGACATTGTAACCCTTTTGCCCTGGGGGATATCCAACAAAAATCCCTTTAAAAGTTCTGGGATCAAATTTATCTCTACCTGGTCCATTATTCACTACAAAGCACAGGCAACCAAAATTTCTAAGTGTGGAAAGATCAGGCTGTTTGTTATACAATCTCTCAAAAGGACTTTGCCAATTCAGTAATTTGAAGGGCCATCTGTTTATCAAATATGTGGCAGTAAGGATTGAATCCCCCCAAAATCTCTTGGGTAATTTGGATTGTAGCAATAGATATCTTGCAACATCCAGTAAATGCCTGTGTTTTCTTTCCACAATTCCATTTTGCTGTGGGGAGTATGGACAACTTCTTTGATGAAGAATGCCCTTTTGGCCAAAAAATACTGAACATGTTTGATTTAAAAACTCGGTTCCATTATCAGTCCTGATGATCTTGATAACAGTTTGGAATTGTGTACAAACCATATGATAAAAACTTTCAATCAAGGCTGGTACTTGGCTTTTATGTTGGAAAAGAAACGTCCAAGTACATCTGGAATGATCATCCACTACGGTTAGAAAATAATGACAATTGGTATTAGTTGCTTGATGACATGGTCCCCAAACATCCATATGAACAAGCTCAAAACAGTAAGAACTTGTAGAAGTACTGAAAGGAAAGGGCAATCTAGTTTGCTTAGAAAGAGAATATATCTCACATTGGTAATCCTTTAATGTCTTATCAAAAGAAACATTACAACCATTTAAATGCTGTATTACATCAGATGAAGGATGACCTAATCTGGAATGTATCATTCTTAAAGGAACAACAGATGAAATTGAATTACAAGTCTGATCAAAAGTTTTGTGACTAACAGAAATGCTAAGATGTAACATTTATACTGCATACATCTCTTGAGATTTTGAAATGGCTTCATTAGTAAATGAAAACGAATCCAGAACATAGAGCTCTTTGATGATTCTTCCAGCTGCAAGGACCTTTCCAGTTTTAAGGTCCTACAGAAGACAGAAATCATCAAAGAATTTAAAGAACATGTTTGATGTTTTTGTCAATTTTCTGACTGGAAGCAAATTGTATTTGAAACTAGGCAGATGTAAACATGATGTCAAAGTGACAGATTCAGAGATTGTAACATCTCCAAAATGAGTAACTGGTTGGATACTACCATCTGGTAACCAAACTGGTGTATATGAATCAAAGGATTTGATGTTATGCATTAATGAAATGTCAGTACACATATGACCTGTAGCTCATGTGTCTATTACCCATGCATTTCTACTACTATCAGATGCAATCCAGGAAGCTAAAGCATAAGAAGAACTACCTGCAAAATCATGGTAGTGTGCCATGTTCACTGAGTGTCCTGCTCCAGTGTTCATGATTCCCCTTCCTTTATTAATAAGTTCAACTTCCTTCTGTACTGCACTGTTGAACATCTGCTGATATGAATCTGTCCCTTCACTGCCAAAATCCAGTGGTGTAATGCTCACATTACCATGATTATAAGTCTGTGTTTGACCCTGCTGCCCATAAGGTATCATCCCTCCAGCATTTCCAACTGGACATGTCTGAATTGAACCAATTTTATTGATCCCTTGATTCATTGGTGTTACAGTTGTCTGGGGGTATTCAATCATGTTTGCTGTATTGAAACCCGGTTTCCTTCCCTTTGAAGTAGGCCACCAGTCTGGATATCCTTTGATCTTAAAGCAGTCTTCAACTAAATGTCCTGGTCTCAAACAGTGAGTACATTTCAGATGACTTTTGTCAACTTTCGGGTATCCCGAACAATTCTGATTCCTTCCTTTCACTTCCTTTTTCCAACTAGAAGACCTTGCTAGCATTGCTGAACTTTCCGGCCCTTGCATCATCATCGCAGCATTATCTGAGGTTGCAATTATGCGAATTCTCACTTGCTTATGTTTCTCAGCAGTTGTAATCATATGATATACCTTATCAACAGAAGGAATAGGATCCATGAATAATATTTGACTCCTTTCCGGTTTATAAACATCACTAAGCCCCCATCATAAACTCCATTACCTTATCCTCATTTTCCCTTTTCACAATCAAATCCCCAATCTCTCCTTCTATCTCAGGAGTTGGCCTCAATTCTTCATATTGATTCCAGATTTGTTCAATCTTTCCAAAGTAATCACTTACAGTTAAGTTTCCTTGCCTAAGCAGAGGAATTTCTCTTTTTAATTCAAATAGGTGAGGCAAATTAGTCTTACCAAATCGTTGTTCTAAACTCTTCCACAATTTCCTTGCATGATGTACAAACATAAACTGATTCATCAAGTCTGATGCCATTGAACTCTTAAGCCAAGAACATACCATGCTATTTTCTCTCCTCCATTTCAACAGGATTGGTGAATCTTCTGCTGGCATCAGAAAGCTTCCCTCCACGAAGCCTACTTTCATCTTTACTTCCAATGCTGAAATCATAACACATCTCCAGATCAGATAATTCTTGCTTGTCAGTAACACCGAGACAATTTGAGTTCCAGGACTCTCCAATCCATGCACATGTAGCTGCTCTTCAATTAAAGAATCAATCTCTCTTCTGTTGTCCATTTCCATCAAGAAATCAGTGAATCTTCGATTCAATTTCTAAGTATTAAAGAAAACTTCAAGTTTCAAATTTGATCAGCTAGGGTTCTTGAGCTAATCAAAGAAGAAAAAAAAAATAACAATCCAATCGAAGAAAAAAATAAAGCAGAAGGCAGAGCAGAGCAGATTTACACATGCTCTGATACTATAAAGATTCTACAAGAATCAATCCTAGGAGATGAAGTATTAAATGAAGAGAAGGAATTCTTGGAAAATAAGATTTCTGTAAAGAACATCGTTTCTGTATTTTTCACCAACCACTTATGGATTCTTTTATATGTATATATATTTTTCTTCTAAAATGAACACCTAATTCTTTACAGAAAGAAAGAAAACACTTCTAATCTAATCCATTGATCTATACAACCGACTTAATAAACCAACTCAACCAACGTCCAGGATTCAAGGAACTTTGAAGTCTGCAGATTGCTGATGGCTTGCCACACCTTCTAGATGGATTGATATGTGCTCCTGAGACACGGGTGACTTCAGGTGCTACTTGGTCAACTGCAGAATCCTGAGACCATGTGTGTAAAGTCGATGCTGCTGCTGCTTGTGAAGTCGATGCTGCTGCTGCTTTTGTTGATGAAGAATCCAATAGACAATAGTCAAGACGAAATTTTCATGGATTTATAACTAATTAAGCTCATGTGTTATCACCTTCAGCTTAAGTACATTTGTAATCTTGGAATTTATCGATGAACTTTCTGATGTATTTCCCTGTCAGAACTAAATCGTGAATTTTTAAGGGATCTATTCGTTCGGAAACTTACCATTTTAGATCACTTGCCCGATTTCCCTTTTACATCCACCCAATAAGTCAATCAAAAGCTGAATGCATGTTTGGTTAACACGGTCGTGTGACACTAACTTCTTCAACATGTTGACTGTTGGACCGTATTTTTTGTGCTTGACCATTGGGATCGGTCGGCAATTAACATGAAAGATAGCCATTTAATTACAAGTTACAAATTTTAGCTGTTATTATTTCCTTGAATGAAAATTTCCTAGCCCAAATAAGTGTTGCACTTTTCTACTCTCATTGGGAATTTGTTTCTTACTTAATTGCGAGATCAAACACAATGATAGTGTATTGGTCAAGTGGTCTCTTGTTTATGTGTATTTCATTATTCTAATCAATACTTCTCACGTCCCAAAATAAAATAGTCCACATTGATCTTAAAGATTTGTGTTTAAAATAATAGAAGTCTCAAAACTCAATCTAGACTATTTTTTTAGATAGAGAGAGCACCTGTTATTGTTATATATGAAGCAAAGAAATTAGACTCATATTATTCATTATGTTTATTAATTCAATAAGATTATTTGTTTGTTTGAGCTTCTTTTCTCTCTCTCTCTTTTCTTTTCTTGTTTCAATAGAGACTGAATTTTTTCGAATGTATATATCATGCTTAGGATTAATACCTTGTGGAAACGAATTTTTTTGTGCCTTAGTTTTTTTGGTATAAAGGAGAAGGTAAGATATTGTGGTACTTTAAATGTGTAGTACTAATTAAAATGTTTTTCCGATAGAAAATGCCGATAACATGGTACTTCAATTATCACTTCAGCCCAGAAGTTAGATTTGATTATCCAACCGCAGTCAAATAGTTAAATTTCTCGTAATAAAAAATACTCCCTTAAAATTCTTGATAAATGTGATGAATGAGAAAAAAGTAACTCAGAAGCATATTGTTTCTATATCACCCACGTAATTGAAAGACAATCGTCAACTCAGAATCATCATTTTTGGTTTGAAATGGCCAACAAGACCCGGATAATGTTATCCAAATTCTGTCGCGCTTTTTTAAGTTTCGGAGGTTCCGCCGCCCCAATATCGTCGCCGCAACCGCCAACTTCCGTCAGAGAAGCCGATGCAAAGTTGTTAAGGTCACCGGGGCCGCCGGAAACCGCCGAGGACTTGGCTTTATCCAATTGGGCTACAGCATCGTTAATATTCTTCAAACATGATTGCAAATGCCCCTTCAACGTTGAATCCTGGGTTTTCCTCAAGAGGTGACTAATCAAACTGGTGGTGGCTGTAGCATTGGATTTAGCCTTTTCTACGGTGATTTCGGCGAACCCTTTTAGGGTTGATTGCGCAAAACGAGGATCCGAATGCAGGAAATTCAAGCAGAACGGAGGGATGATCGTCGTTTTGCAGATTCCGTCGATCAATGCCGATGAATCTGATGATGCTTTGGTGCTAGGATTTGGTTTTTCTGCATGAGAATCGCTCATGAGAATGGCTTCTAGAAAGAACAAGAGAAAGAATTTTGCATTATTCATTGTATCAAATTTTTATATTTTTTCTTTCTTCAGTAAAAAATTTTAATCTTTTTTTTTTTTTCGTTTTTTGGTTTGGTGACAAGGAAGAGACCAAGACCTATATATTTATAGGTTTGTGTTTTGTACTGGTGCCAAATTCGACAGGTATATCGACCCTTGAATATCTTTGTTTTATGCGGTGTTTATATATATGAGGACAATTTTTTTTTTTTACTTTTTGTTGAGAAAAGAAAAGGACAAGTACATTTTTTGGAAGGGGAAATGCCACTTTTATTAAGGAGAAATTACATAAAGACAATAGAAGGCCAATCGGAAGATTTTAGCTGGCCTATTTATGTTGATGGTCATTCTTGAAGTTTAAGTTTAAAATATTCGACGGCTTATCATCCTAAATTGTTATCTCAAATGACATCTCGCATGAATGAGGTCGCCAAGATGAATTGAAACAAATGAATTATTATATATTGATGCATGCCTTCCATGTTTCTCCGTCCCTTTGGAGAAAAAAAAAATCCTATTTTATTGAATTAAAATATTTCAAATTCCCGCGCTTCCGTTTGCAGTCATTAGGTGTTCCTGAATTTATCAACCAGTGTTCTTAATTGATGATCTTCCAAGTTACCACTCCTTTTTTTTTTTTTTAGTTTTTCTAATATCCTTGAAAACTCCATTCGTTCTAATAACACATTATTTCTCAAAAACAACCCTTTCTTTCATTATCTAATCACATTTTCTGCGTAACACAAAGATAGTCTAACGCTACTAAAAAATTGACACGTACATTTTCAAATATTCCCTCTGTTCCAAAATTATTATCCAGTTTGAGATTTCACTTTTAGTACAATTTGAACTAGAAATGAAAACCGAAACTAGATAATAATTATGGAACGGGGGAGTATAATCTAACTTTCTAAAGATCAACTAACACTGTAACCACGCCAGTAGGATAAAATCAAAAATATGTGTATGTATCAAAATATAAAAGTTTGAATTTACATTTTTAGGTTAAATTGTAGAGAAAATGAAATTTTAAATTGCACAATGATTTTGGGACAGAAGTAATAATGACAAATAATATAACTAGAAATTCTTTTCCGTATTGCTAGAGATGATCCCAACTTCAGATTAGCCCATGAATGAGATGTTTCTCACTCTCAAGATCAACCTTTTTTCTTAGCCCACAGACCACATTGGACTCTATTTTGTTTTCGACTTTCACTTGAGTTGTAACTCGAACCGAAGGTTAAGTTTGGCCCAATCATAATGTGTGGTTGTAGATATTATGAAATATAAAATATAAAACCACAATTCTGCATGAGGTTACAGTTACACCATTGTCCTGTTCTTTCAGATATCGTTAATTTCATCATCCCCAGTCCTATCCCATGTCTATTTACTTCTGCGTTCTGCCGGAGAGGGGAAAAAACAAACCCGAGTGCACACAAACTTCCATTCATGTCCAGTTTTCAAAGTAATCAAAACTTTTGCCTTCTTCACAAAAAATTATTATTTCTGATTTTTCCTTCTCAACATGAAGAATTACCTATGATTTCAAAGTAGCAAACATCGCAATTGTGCTTCTTGCAATGATGCAAACATCTCAGATTTGAAGGAACTAATTCAACAAGGAAGCTCCAAAATGGAAATTCAGAACAGCTAACGTCAAGAGTTCTACCACCAAGTCAGTATTTTTAACTTTTTATAGTTTTTAGAGTGAAAGAAATTGTTTTTAAGTACTCCCTCTATCTCAAAATTATTGTCCAATTTGAGATTTCACTTTTAGTACAATTTGAACTAGAAATGACAACACAAACTGGACAATAATTATGGGACGGAGGGAGTACTTTCTTATTGGAATGTGTGCAAGTCATTGCTATTTTCTTTTCTCTTTTTTTTTTAAAGAAAAGAAAAAACTACAAGTATGCTTTAGATGTATTAACTGATAAATTTATGTATTTCCCATTTATTACTACTATAATTTTCTCTTGTAACTAAAGTTGACAGACAATGGTTATCTCTTAGGGATCAGTCTGAGTATGTACGTACCCGGTTAAAAAAAATAGTATCTCATAATTTATGTGTATAATAATAATTATATCATTTGTATCATACATATATCCATCAAGCTGGCTGACCAGAAAAAGAATGGTTTTCTTTTATAAGGACTACATTGTGTTTTCAGTGTAATGGAAAGACCTTAAAACTGAAGTTCACTTCAAAAATACTAACGTTGCAACTGATTGTTGAAATTGTGGCTTTGACTATTGTATTTGTCCTTTAAAACCCAAGAGTTAGTTCTTACATTTTATTTTTTTCCAATTAAATAAACTTGTGAAACCAATCAGTTCAAGCCATTGTGCGGTGGATTCACATTCCACACGTAATATGTTTTTATGTGCTATACAATGCCAGGCGGCGATGCGTTGAATGGTATCGTTTAATCGTCTCATCTCTAAGCAAATTTAAACGTTAAGCAAATATAAATCAGTCATATATTTCTTCCGTTAGTTAAGAAAACTTTATTTTTGTGGTGGTTAAATAAAGTGTTCATAATATTCCTTGGTTAACCTCGTTAGAGTTTGGAATAATTTAATTAAATATTGGCCATTAATAGATTTAAATTATCAATGATGATGGGTAAATTAGAAACTAGAAATTTTGTGACTGCTGAAGACCAATTAGTAAATGTGCCCCAATAAAATGAATCAAAGTAAGTAATTTGATTGGAAAAGTTACACCAACAAGTCCTGATGAGAAGTTGGGATAATCTCATTATTAAACTGCATTCATTTGAATGAGTGACATAGCTAACCTAGAAACAAACCGTCCAAATTAATTATCAAAAGTGTCGAAAATGTTTGCAATATCAAACCGCCTTTAGAAAAAAAAAATAAAAATAAAAATAGAGCAAGTAATTCCAAAATCAATGTTTTAGAATCATGTTTACTCCAACTAAGCATACTTAATTAAGTTGGCCAAGGATACGTCTTTAATTAATCTAATAATAAGGAAACATTTATACTTTTTGTCTGTTTAATTTTAAGAATTTTATCAGTACGATAAAATTAAATTATTCAAATGGGACACAAATTATATTGAGAAAGAATGTGGTGTGGTTGAGTTTGCTTTTTCAACTAGACTTGTTTAAATTTTCTTACCTCACTTTACCCAATCCATTAGAGTGCGAATACAGTCATGTATTGTAGTTGGTGACGAATTTGATAAGAATCTTGATCCTTACTTAAATATCTTTGTTTCTGCCGTCGTTAGGATCTTTTCTATTCCAATGAAACCTCTTCCACGAGTACGAATTTATGACAATGATTGCTTAGATTGGCATGGCCATACGATGTTTTACATCACTTTCAAATGGAACCATTACGAAAGGAATCCCTCAATTTCAACATAATTCTGAATTTGTCTCTCAACAAATAAAAAAAGTTTGAATTTTCATCCCTAAGCTATTGTCATTTCAATTTTTTTTTTTTTATTAAGGGCATATATATTTCCAATAGTAGGTTTATCTTGCAAGAAAAGAGAAATCATGTACTCATTTCGTTTATTGTTTTGTTCATTAAGCACATTTCACTTGCCCTAGTGTTAATATGGGTGAGAATTAATCGTAATCATTACCAAATGCAATTTTTTTTCTTTGGTTAACTTACCAAATGCAATTCAACATTGAAAGCAAACAGATTTTGAAACGTTAGCCGTAGGCAAAACTAAATCATCATTTTTGGACTAACGCTTGCGTCTCTAATGAATGCTTACGCTGGGCGCGCATTAAGAAAACATCGAATCAGATGACCATAATCCGAGAATAATGTTTCTGACAAGTGGTAGATTAGGTGAACCGAATTCATGAATGAAAAAGACTTGCATAATCTATTCTATTGCCATTGTTGTTTAATAATTCAAAGGTGATAACAGATTACTTACAATAATTCTAATTAATCGTCGCATGTGGTACTTAAGTTATTAAAAGCAAAAAAGTTCCTATTAGGTTGGCCTACAAATGAACTAGTCTTGGCATAATCTTCTTTTGATTAAAACTTGACGAGTATTGATCGACAAATAGTCTAGCAATATCTAATCAGTTTTGTTCATGACTTAATGAGTGCATTTTAATCCCTTCCAACTCCTTGATCTTTAATTTTTCTCTGATTTGTTTTGTTAATTATAGTTTATCTAGGAGGTATTACATATGGGTGATCGGGTTGGTAGTCCCGCGAAGAAGATATTCCTTGTCTTGAGCTGTATTTCTGTAGTCATTGGTGCCTGTGGCGGACCGTTGATCACCCGTTTGTATTTCCTCCACGGTGGCGGCAGAGTGTGGCTTATAGGTTGGTTACACACCGGAGGATGGCCGGTTATTTTCATCCCGCTTATAGCCGCCTACTTCCACCGCCGGAGTACAACCCAGCCAGGATCAGATACCAAGCTAGTTCTCATCAAACTTCCAACACTACTGGCAGCCATGTGTGTTGGCGTCATTATTGGCGTATCAAATTACTTTTACTGTTTTGGCATCGGCCACTTGCCAGTGTCCACGTCGAGTCTAATCCTCGCATCCCAACTCATCTTTACTTCGTTTGCTGCTTTCATCATTGTCAAACAGAAGTTTGATGTGTATACAGTAAATGCCGTTGTGTTGTTGAGCATAGGATCGGCGGTTTTGGCTATGCATGCGGGCGGCAATGACAGACCCAAGGGAGAGAGTAATAGGATGTACATCTTGGGTTTTATTTTCACTTTTGTATCTGCAGCTGTATCAGGGGCAATCTTCCCCTTGATAGAGTTGACATACATGAAAGCAAAACAGGCAATCACCTATGCTTTGGTGATGGAGATTCAGATAGCCTTCTGTATATCTGCATCTCTTGTCAACATCATTGGAATGATAGTGAATCACGACTTTCAGGTCTGTCTTTCTAATTGTAATCTCAATGAAAAACGCAGAATTCGTATAATGAAATGACTCGGAATATAAAAAGATACGAGTTAAAGAACATAATAGCTCATCAGAGACTGTACATCAGTTATTGAATGAGGCCTCAATGTTTTGCAGGCAATTTCACATGAAGCAAGAAAATATCAACTTGGGGAAACAAACTATTACGTGGTGCTTGTCTGCATTGCCATTGTTTGGCAATTTTTTACCTTGGGTATCACCGGGATCATCTTTTGTTCTTCATCTTTGGTATCCGGCATCATCATTACCTTCTTACTTCCGGTGACAGAAGTTTTAGCTGTCATTTGCTACCACGAAAAGTTTCAAGCAGAAAAGGCCGTTGCCCTAGTTCTATCTCTTTGGGGATTTGCTTCTCACATCTACGGTGAGTTCAAGCGCAACAAGAAGAAAAAGAAACAAATGGACGACACAGATATATCCGCAGATGCTCTTCCATGATTTTCTCTTGTAATATGAGTGAAGCTGATTAGACCTAAGTGGTAGGTGTGCAAATGTTGAAACATGTCATTAATGAATTTTGTGTGCAAAGAGTAAAACAAAACACAGAAACACGTCTCATTGGATTTTCGCTACTACTTGTTTGGCAACCATATCTTGTAAGAAAGAACAGAGGAATTGCAAAATTTATTTACTGTTTGATAAAATGAGATGTTGCTTCAACAATCTTACGCACTATATGAATATTTTCATGCTATTAAGTGACAAAGAAACGCGTGTGGTTCATGACTCAAGCTTCACATAATTGACCTATACATGTAACTCAAATTCGTTAGCAATTGCCTAGCTGCTGAAGATGCCGCCAATTAGGAGGAATAAAACTTCTGCAAGCTAGAGATGTCCAATAAATACCCATCCGTGATGAAAGCAGCAGTCTTTTATCAGCAAAAGAGTTTGAATCAGCCACTAACCAGTTAGATTGATTCCCTTTGTGACTCCGAGTTTCAGCTAATGATGGCACCAATCAAAGAATCTTCATTACGAACAGAAGGATCAACATCAAGATAGAGAATTCAAGCACAGATCTGGTGCTGAGGAATCGATCAAAAATGTGCTGCAACCTGTAATTCAACCAGTAGACAGCTGCTGGTAAAGCCTGTTAATCATATCAGCATGTTCACCACATTAAGAATGGTGACCAAAGAGGCCAACATATTTAACCAAATGATGATACAGATTATGCACAGTTCATTCTTGCAATCCAAGTAATAAGGAAATCAATATAATAGTTATGTCCCTTGGCCTGTAGGTCCTGATACAGCAGACCCAAATTGACACAATGCTACAGAATTCGCCAGGGGTAATAATTTCGTTAAACCTATTCTAAAGGGCACGGCAATTGTCCTGTTTCCAGCATGAATCCCGGCCCTACATTTGTTCCTCTGCACATTTTTTATTACCGAACTCGGAACACATGCTCTGTTATTACTGCACATTTCCCCATTTAATGTGGTAATGCCAAATGAGAGCGGGAAAATTCCCTGTTTCTATTTCACACCAGTGTGATTTTACAGATAAGCAGGTAACATTGGAAGCTGAATCCAAGTAAGCAACACCATTCAATTGGGCGATGCCAGTTGAGACACCTCAAATGTGGTTTGATTTCATAACTAAGCTATACTCGGATTTTTAAGTTCGACTAGGATCTTAGGTAAAAGTTCAGGTAAGGTATGCACCAAGGGCCAAGCAGATACACATATCTTTAACTTTGTTATTTCCTCTTTAGTTTTTGGAGACAAACTTCAACAAACTGTACAGGAAAGTAAAGGCAAAGCCAAATCTTTGTGCAACTGAGAAAACGAAGATAAGAGATGTACAGAGTAAGTCAAATCTTCTGGTCATTTTCACAACACATTCACTGATCAAAACTCCAACATAATTCCAGAGCATTATAACAATTCAAAAACAGCTTACCGGTTTTCTTCATTGGAAACTTCTTCCTTGGCAAACTCATCTAATATAGCACGCTGGCGCTCGTTTAAGACTCTGTATACAAAATTAAAGCAAATAACTTAGTGGCTTTGAAAAAACTTATAGGAGACATAATTTATATCTCTAAGGGACCTTACTAGGAAATTAACATCTCTAAAAGACCTCAAAGTTTTACACAACAGTTTGGCTAGAAAACCAGGAAAGAGGAGAACGAGAAGATTTGTCATCTGCCCTCCCTCAGGTGCAGAAGTTTTTATGCAGTCAATTAGGAACTTAAAAAAGATTTTCTCATACATAGTAAATTTATTTGTAGGTGTTGTACATCAACAAATCAGCATACATGGAGTTAAAAGCACACCATGGACCTCAACTCAAATAAAGTACAGGCTGAGTTGAAATGAAGCACAAATTCACTCAAAAATTTTGAAAAAGCATAAATTGGTGTTCTTTCATGACCTGCGAATTCACTCAAAAAACACAATATGGCTTTCAGCTTGAAGAGCACGGGTGACTTTTACACTCTGCTCCCTTTCAACAAATTCTCAGAGAAATTTGGGCTTTCAGATCACATACCATTTTCACTTTCTTTCAGCAAGGAACCATTTTACAAGCAGTAAGCAGACTGCATTATTTGCTTACAGATATTCAATAAAATCGAGTCAAACTTGTAAAAGAGAACCAAGAAAAATCGTAGTGTAAAAAGAGCTTACACAGGGAAGTTTACGCGAAACCGCACATACTGATTTCCATGATCTACAAAATAGCCTCTCTTCGGCAAGCCTGCTCACAATCATTCATTCAGGTATCATAAGAAAACAGAAGATAAGAAGGCCAAAGAAGCTGGAGGAGCATCAATCAAGTCTCTAGAGCTGGAAGCAACAAATTCCTATACCTTTGCCTCTTAGCGTCAGAAGTTGTCCGTGTTGAACCCCCTTAGGAATCTAAACAGAAAAAGAAGCCAAAAGATGCAAAATCATCCTGATCAAATTCTATTTAACAGATCACCCCACAAATGCTTTCAGTTTGCATAAAGAAAACCATAGGTAAAGAAAGTAAAGCACTAAGTGTCAAATGCTATTGGAAAATTTTTGAGATCAGAGTGCAAACGGAAAACCCCAATTGCAGATTTTAGTCATAGACAAGAACTAGCCTGCCCAAAAAGAAATAAGATTGATTTCTCTCTCAGTATTGAGTTCCACTAACAGGCACTATAGATATTGTCAAAGAAAAAAATAAAACCATACAAGAATCAGGTAATAAAAATCTGATTAAACTTCAGAGGCAACAGAGGAAACCAAACAAGTTTTAACTTCAAAAAAACCTAAGACAATTGCATAGACACATAACGCAGCTTGACATCAACGAAAAAATAGCTCATATTGACGATATGAGGTGAATTAAGCATCATACTTGCAGTTGCACTTTTCCAGATAAAGTTGGCACTTCCACCTCCCCACCAAGTATAGCCTGTTAAAAAACGCATAAAAAAAGAACCGCATATCACGTAGAGCACATTTCCATAGATTTGCTCAATAAGCACTAGAAGAAACTATAGCAAACATCTCATAAAAACAAGGGGGAAAAAAAAAGAACAGATCAAATGCATAAGTTCAAATAAATATCCCTGTTTCTTGCCTTGTTATTGGGACACCAAACTGCTGCCATACATTAACCGATTGGTGGTCTACTTATTTTTTGGAGATATGTTCAAGATTTTCGATTGTGGCGACTTTTCCAGCGGACAATCACTTTTAGAGACATAAGATATTTGTAAAATTTTCGGAGTCAAAAGATGCCTGTCACCTGGACTGTGCCCTCAGCTATTGGCAGCTATTCAGAGGATCAGAGGACACGGAAATTTAAATTCAGTTTATAAAGGCCTGATGGTAAAAGCATTTTAATGCAAGGATAAAAGAGCAAAATATCTAAATTTGGTGAAACCCAAGAGATAATGGTTCAAACCAAATTAAAGAACCACTGAAGTCAAGAATAAAACAGCGTTTGAATCGGTTTCATCACAAACAATCCCTGAGTATTAACACAAACTGAGATTGTAAAGCTCAACGAAGAATATGTGAGGATGAAATGTGAGCAGAGGCATACTAAATGATTTGAGGTGAAATACTTGTCCTAAATTGAAGGCAGTTAAAACTAGAGTATGTCAACCTGCTCAATGGCGCTACAGTTGATTGGCCTTTTCTTAAGATGCCTTTGCTCAGCCTCTCAATGAAGCAGAAACTGAATGGTAAAAATAAAGAAAGGAGTAATTCTCCCACATATTGCAATCAGAAAAAGTTCATATGGCTTCACAACTCTCCACAATCAAAGAGATTGGTCCCAGTAATCAAGGCAGTGTACAGGAAAATGAAAGAATGTAGCAAGTTTATTCAATGAAACATGGCCAAGATACAAGAGCAGAGTACAGACAAGCTCTGTAAAATACAAGCTAAGATGGTAAATTATAGTAGCTGATCCAAGTCCAGATAACAGAGATTTAAATGAAACCAAGAGAACGAATCTTACTTGTGTAAAACTAATATTACTATCTACATATATATCAGCACCATCCCTGACAAATATGGGGTCTTCAGATACCTGAAACAAAAGGTGGGTAAATTTTCAGAAAGACAAGAACAGTGAAGCAAGCCAATTTGTTAACATGGAAAATCCACAACAGATTCATTAACAAATTATTCAGCTACCTTCCTAACAAATAGGGCCAGAAAAGGGGAGGAAAAGAAGCAAATTACATTCAAGTTAATAGTCAATAGATGAAATAATTAATGAGCTCTTTTTTCTATCAGTAAAACCACATATTAACTTATTAGATCTATCCTTAAAAGCTTCAAGTGCATGAATTCTGAACAACGGAAAGAGCAGGGTGGAAGAATAAGAATCCTTGTACTAACAGGCTCAGGAAAGTAACAGGAGCATATTCAAGAAACTATTTAAACCAACAAATTTTTGAGTCCTGAGCAGAAAAAAGAAAAAAGAAAAGAACAAGAACAACAAATGAGTGTTCTACCTTAATGTTGATGAATAAGTTTCCTGGTTGGAATCCCCGCTTGCTAGCATTACCAGATTTTGGAACACGAATAGTATCCCCAGTATCCAACCCTAGCCAATAAAAAAAGAAGAGAAATTTGAACAACTGTTTGTTATTCTATCTCTGTCTCTTTAGAAGCCATAACATAATCCGCACAAAACCTACCAGGTGACAATAATTATTTAATTCTAAAAATCAATCTTCAAAAGCAGTCTCTGAAAAGTGAATTATATGATAACAGAAAGCTTGTTTCAGGCAAAAGTTTTTAATAACCACCAGAAGTTCATGATCAATATGACAATGTTACATTTTTCAAAGTTGCCTGAGGGAACTTAGTAAAAAATGTATATACTGTTGGAAAAAAAAAACAAAGAAAAGATCAATAAAACAAGCCTTTCCCCTCATTAAGAGTTCAGTACAATCCCAAATCTTTCACAACCCCCAAATAAGAAAGAGAGAGCAGCTCTATGTTGGGTACTAATAAAAATAGACAGCACTGAAGCAAAGCAATTAAAATTATTCATGCAACTCAAGTCCAACCTCATTCACAACCACATATAGAATTGCCAAGCTCTACTTCATATTTAGACAAAAAAAATATTCATCACGAACCTGCTGGAACTGTTACTTTGACCTCCTTCACTCCTTCAACTATACCAGATCCTTGGCATTCCCTACAAAATTCCTAAAATAACATTCATATTAAAATTTCACTCTCTTTTTTCAATTTTTTGAAATGACTAATAAAGAAATTAACCTTCACAACTCGTCCAGATCCGCTGCATGTATTGCAAGTTTCAAAAAAAGGACCCAATGAAACCTACAACACCGTACATGAAATGCTGAAACAAGTTCAGAGGGAGAACCAATGTAAAATTTGGATTATTCATATGGACACGTATCACCAATAAGTACTTACTTTCCCTGCGCCTCGACAACTGGGGCACACTTTTGATCTTGCATTCAATGGATGGCCACGACCATCTGGATATTTTAGAACAGAAGACAGGGCCATTAAGTCAATTCTATAAGATTTAACAGAACACATTACAAAAGGAAAAAGAAGGAAAAAAAAAGTCTGGATTCCAATAGATCACAAAGGCTCCAATGCATGGAAACAAGCATTGGGCTTTCTGGAAATTTATGAGGCACGAAATGCGAAATAAGGAAAATGAATTTCGAAAACAACAATCTACTCACCACAAGAATCACATGTGACATCTGCATCGAAAGAAAGATGCTTAGTGCACCCCTGAGCAGCTTCAGAAAAAGTCAGTGAAAGCTCCACCTAATTAATCAAACACACAATACAGTTAAAGAGTGATTCAGCTCATCTCAAGATGGCGAATGGATGAAAGGATTATTACCTCAATGTCGGTGGCCATAAAATCAGCTGCATTTTCAAATATCTACAAGATAACAATGATAGTCACTCGAGGATAAATTGACAAACTCCTAGAGCTGATAAACCAAGAAGACAGAAAGATTACCTCAGAAAAAACTTTGTGAAATGAATCAGAAAATTCATTTCTATTAATATCACTATAACTATAACGAAAGCCACCAGCATCCCCCATAGAGAATTTTACACCCTCAGCAGTTCCGTTATCCTCCTTCATCTGTCATCCACAAAACCCCAGGTGACAACAAGACAGATGCTAAAATTCAAAAATGACATACAACGTAGACTGAACTATTACCCTGTCATATTGAGATCTCTTTTTAGGATCTTGTAAAGTCTGTAAATCACCATCAAGGATTAAATAATTCCCATGAATCATACCAAAAAAAAAAAATTAAAAAAAATAAATAAATAAATCTGAGAAATAATTGGGATATACGAAACAAACTACAAACCTCATAAGCTTCTCTTATCTCTTGAAACTTTCTCTTCGAAGAAGGATTATTCCTATTAGCATCCGGGTGGTACTTCTTAGCAAGCTGAAATGTGAGTCCAAAACAGTGAACAAATTGGATTACTACAGACATCTTTTAACAGGATAAGGATAAAACAACTTAAGGACGAATATTATTCAAATGAAAATAGTAAACTCCTTTCCATATTGAACACCAAATCCAATATCTATATCAAAATTTTGAGTATCAGGTTAGTGTTAATCTAAATCTACTGTGGAAATAGTTATTAGCCCATTTCAGCTTATCATCATACTTCCAGTACCTCTAGCACTTGGCAGCCTTAGAGCAAATTCTAAATGATGGATGTTGATCCCTTATGCTGATATAGTGATATGACATAGTCTTCTAATAGCCTAGTTACAGAAAATTCAAAAGCAGATCAATAATAGACTCACGGCATGAAAAGCCTTCTTAATTTCCTCTCTGGTGGCAGTTTCAGAGACTCCAAGAATTTCATAATAATCCCGTTGCTTGGCATCGGAAGCTGAAAAAAAATTAATCACATGTGTCAGATTCCAAGATAATACATCACATTATAAACCACATAAAGCAACACATAGCAAAACCTATAAAGAAAGTGGAAAACCTGCAGAATGAATAAAATTCTTTGCCGTCAACATCCATTTAGTACTCACTAAATCAGCAGCATTCAAAATGGAAGTGCGATGCCACATTTCTGCAGAAGCATAACACCAATGATTACATGTGACGACAATAAATTCAATCGAACAACATCAGCTCCCAATGAAATAGCAATGCTTCAACAACCGGCTTAAAATATACTCAAATGATGAAGATCAAACTATCTAAGTTTACACAGCGTGGAAAAAGCCACTTTCAAATTACGAATCCAAAAATGTAAAGAAAATAACTGCGCAATAGAGTTCTTCACCACTGACACCAAGAATCTCCATGATTAGCACCATTCAGTTTCCAATTTGAGGATGATTCAATTAAATGCATCTATACACGCACATTGTAAAACGAACAAAAAAGTAACTGTACAAAAATTGTAAGCTTATAATTGCCTTCTTACTTGGGCGGCTATGAGGAAACGCCGAAGAAGCGGTTCCATGTAACTGCCTGCTTATGGATGAAGCAACTGGAAAGCTTGAACGTCGATACTGAAACAGCGAAGAAAAACACAACTGAATCGAATGACAAACAGTATAAAATTGATTTCATCCATATTTTATCCACTTCTTCTTAATCCAAATAAAAAAAAAAAAAAATCCAATTAGAAATTGTTACCGAAGAATTCTGTAGAATCGCATTTGTTGATGACCAAAGCGGTTTCCATCTGCGCATTGTTATAGTAATCGAAGTTGATTTCTACTGAAAAGACGAATTAAGCGACGGAAGCTGGCGGAGAGAGTGGTTTTCCGGTGAGAGAATCATAAAAGCGACGCCGAACAAGTTCATGAATTTCTGAACTCCAATGGAAATGCTATGGAGGTTTTAGAGGGAGGGGTTTAAGCCAAACCGGAAAGGAAGCAGCGGTCCGGTGGACAGAGGGGAATAATGTGGCGGTTGGATTGAGAAACGGCGTCGTTACTCTACGAAAAGCCACTCTTGAGTGAAGGCGTAATTTAGTTTGGCCATCTGACCACGCCTCTTTATCATGTACTGACTAATGATACTCTTTGACCACGCCTTTTTATATTGGCAGCCGAAATGGACAATGTTGACCACAATGGGGTTAACTGGTTAAAGTCCGAAATCCGAATTGGTTGCTTTATACAATAAGTGATATGAACGATAATAGTAGTTTACGGCGTACTACTTTTTGTATACTTGTCGGGCGTAAAAGTCGATTCATTTCTCAAAGTTACACAATTTATGAATTTGGTAGAACGAGAATTGTGATTAGTGACTACTGTCCGATTCTCTGAGTGGAAGAGAACAAGAAAAATTGAACCAAATGATGTTTGGTTATAGAGAACATTTTATTTCCGAATAATGTACACAATTTTATCAGCTGATTGAAAAATTCGAATACGTTAGTGAATTTTGATTCAATTTTTTCAATACTTTATACAAGTTCTTAAACGACAGATAAAACATAAAAATGGAGAGAGTAGTACTAATTCAGGCGGGTCAAGGGAGGTTATGAGATGGCTGTTATAGATTAATAAAATCAGAAATGTAACAGATAAAATTTTATAATTTTCACAATGACTTGACTTAATACCTGCAGAGAAATTAGAGAGACAGTCTTCAACTTCTTGAATTTTTAAGTTTTAAGTGACAAGGAATGTTTCATCCAAAAGTTAGTCTCCTTTTTTTCACTCAATCAATCGGTGCTAGACCTTTTCCAGTAATATGAATATAAATATGTTTCCTTAAAAAAAAAAGTCTCCTTTTTTTTTCACTCCTCACAGACATAGATCTAAAGCGCTAACTCATTGTAAAGATAGCAGAGTTTGACTCTTAAAAGAAAACAGAAAAAACAGTACAATTATTAGTAGAATTGTATCCCCAAGTTCAAATTAAGAAACAAACGTTAGATTATAGGATCATAATAGAAAAATGGAATCTACCAGCAATTATCGTGATAAATTGATACCGACCAAGTCATCATTCCTCAAAAGCGAGGAAGCGAGTTTGAGTTTTATTTTTAAATAAATAATGATTGTTGGAAGATATTTATCTCTTGAGAGTAGTTTTAAAAAAATTAAATTGAATATTGTAACATTACAGTAAAGAAAAGCAAATATTCCTTCCATCCCACAAAAATAATTCACATTAAGTTTTGTACTATTTTTAATACAAATTTCAAAATTCAATGTAAACTATTTTTCTAAAACGACATTAGTACTAAATAAGAACTGTGTGAATCTTTGTGGCACGTGGGGATAACCTTGAAAAACTGAGAGTACCATTAGATATTCAGATTTGAAAGCAACAAATCTTGGAATACAAAAGGACCAAAAAGATTTGGTCACATTACAATGACAAATATGACATCTTCATTAATGCATATATGGGCAAAGGTAAAAACTTTTTCCTTGCCCTGAAGAAGAAAAAAAAAAAACAAATATATTGTAATAAACGTAATAGAAGTCATAGAAAATATGACTTTCTATGAAGACAACAATTAGAGAGAGAGAGACAATAATAGTAAGCTTTGACACCACTAGCTTCGCTAAACGAATTAGCGAACCTAGGGTGATTTTGGATAGTTAAAAACGACATTAGAAATTGATAATCGAAAAACTAATTGAGTTGAATTTAAGGACATTTGGGGCGTCCTTCCTGTGTTTTCCAGTTGTTGTAGCACTTGCAAACTTGCTTGTTTCCGTAGTAACCAGGGGGGACACAGAGGCAAGTGTTGCAGCATTTGTTGCAGAAGAATAGGCAAGGCTTCCTGTATTGTGTCCTCCCACATCTCCTATTGCACTCTGGCTTGCATTCTGGTGAACAAAGCAAACCGGCGTCACACACGAAAAGTGATACAGAAGATTTTAATTTTATTTGAACAATATCATTAGAGTGGACAAAAGTACTACTAGTGAAACAACCCTCATTTTTTTTTTGTCGAAAATATTTAGTGTCTATGAGACAAAGTGATTGGATTAATATTTGTGAGGAAACCGTCGTAATTTCCTAGAATGAGATGAATTGAGATCTGTACAGTGAAGAAGGCGCCCGAAAATTAAGAAATTAGGGAGGAAAATTAAATTAACAAGTTTCTGCAGGGGCGAAAAATGGAAGAAAAACGGGGGAACGCAAATACTTACGCCATGGCTTGAGGCTTCCTTCACCATATTTTGACTGCAACACGAAATTCCGTATAAAGGAAAAGTACTGGTTAGAAACTCCATTAGAAACATTAAGCATGGAAATCAAAGCGAATTTAACTAATCTTTCCGTTCCATTTTAATAGTTGGTTATGTATATAAATGCGGCGAATTCGGCTTACCCGGCCTGCAGTGTTGGCATTGGCCATAACAGTGGTGGCAACCATGGAGAAGGCCATGAGGGCCAAAAGCAGAAGAGCAACAAACTTAGCCATTGCAGGGAGTCAAAGAAAATGAAGAAGGAGCCTAAGGAGTAAATGGGAGGCTTAGGCTTAAATGTGATTGTACTTTTTTTTCCTTTTTCTGTTGGTTGTGGTGCTTTTGGATGAGTGTAAAGGTGGACTATAAATAAGACCACCTAGAGGTTCTCCTCTCCCTCTTATTTATTTATTTATTTATTTTTATTTCTTGGATTTGATCTGTGTCTCTCATCTTACAGAAATGCCCACCAACAGTCTCAAGAATAATTGTTTATGACAATGCAGTAAATTTTAGTAAATATCTTTCCAGACTAGAATAAGTTACGACTAGTGGTAAGACTGTAAGTAAATTTATTTTGACTAGTTTGATAATTTCGATGGAAGTTTAAAAAGGAGAAGAAAATATATATATCTTTTCCGGCATACTTTTACACACAATTGTAAAAATATCTCTTGAAATTGCTGCGGCAACAAATAGTTTTGTTATTATTCCCACAACTTTGTAGTTAAACTAAGGTCTTGATTTTTGATTGTGTGACACGCGAAATCGGAGAAATTTACATGTTGATAATGTCACACATTTCTTCACTAGGTGATTGGATGAGTACTTGAAATTTTACGTTGCCCATTTTCAATGGTGTACAAAACTGTACGTACGTAGAAGCTTTTTCTTTGTCCCCTCTTTACTTTCATGATTTTGTTGGAAGGTTGAGACAACATGGTTCTCCATCAAACCGCCTTAATCTTACGACGGAGTAATATGTGATTCTATTTTGTTAAGTAATAGAAAGTAATGCTCCATGAAACCACGTTAATTAAAGACTGGGAAAAAAAAATAAAAAAGGAAAACAAACAAAAAATGAGAGTAACAACATTATTTTTGTGGTTTCCATGGCATGTATTTCGGGGTATGGAGAAAAACTGCCGGTGATTGATTAAATGCTGTTGTTGAACAAAATCGAGAAAGTTAGTTGAAAAGTGCTGCATTCCAGGCAGAACCCAAATTATTAAAAAAAAAAAAAAAACGAAATAGTTCAGCAAAGACACCGTTGGATCGGTTTTCGTTACATCATTGAAGAACATAACGCCAAAAAACTGAACAAAATAAAGATAATACTAAAACTCTATGTTGCCCTTTTCTTCCTCCATTTTTCTTCGAAAGTGGACAACTTGGTCTTTAATAACTCATCCAACTAGCAGTTTTCAACAAATTTTAACCTGAGGATCTCAAATACAACTCCATGTGACATCCTTTAAATCATTTGAAATGTAACTTAATCTCTTAATCATTAGGGTTCACATTACAATTCTGTTAGTCGTGCGTTAGTGTTAATACTCTTTCCGTCTCATTTTACCTAGTTAAATATAACAACCTACTGTTATAATGAAATTACCAAGAGTATTCCGTAATACAACATAAAAAGTAATACACAGAAGATCCGATCCGAGATAGATCAATCTTACAAGTAGATGGCTAGGAGGATGATGATGATGTTTTGGAGGATTGGAATGGGCAATAAAATAAGGGATCAATAATTAAAGGGACGCATGTGCGGGCATCTGAGGCAAAATAGAGAAGCACATGACCAAGAAGAAAGATGCCCCCCTTTCCCCAGTCTCAATCCACCGCACCCTGCGCTGTAATCCATCCCCTAGTGTCTCTCACTTGCATATGCTTCTTCACAACAGTCCTTTTCCCATTTGCAAAACCCCTTGTGTCTCTTTTTTTTTAAAAAAAAAATATACACTTACTTAATTAACTTATATAACTATTTCACTTTATGTTAAATTATTTACTCCCTCCGTCCCATAATTATTGTCCACTTTGTCCAAAAACTTTTGTCCCAAAATTATTGTCCAATTTAACTTTTTATGGATCAAGTTACACATTTGTCCTTAGTAAAAAACATTATTCATAAACTCATAATGGTTAAACAATTACTTATGTAGGGGTATATCCGGTTGTTTAAGGTAAAATATAGTTAAATTTGACCAAAAATAAAATCTTTCATTTCAGTAAAATTGGACAATAATTATGGGACGGAGGGAGTAATTTTTTTCCCTTCCATTTTCAGTTCATCATCAATCTTTTTCATTGCCATTTACAGCCGAATGGAAATACAAAACTTTTTGTTATTTGCAACAACATTATACTAAACCTTAAAGTCTTCATTTTAGATAATTACTTAATTATCTCTCACAAGATAATTTGATTGTTTATTGGCTAATTTCCGCCCACTAGTCCAAATAGTGACCTTTAAGGTCATAATTACGTTTGCAATTGACTTTTTAAGAGATGCTTCCACAAAATATCAAAACTCAAGGGATGTTATATGCAATTAACATATATACTCCCTCTCCCCTCCCCCCTCCCTCTCTCTCTCTCTCTCTCTCTCTCTCTCTCTGTGTCTGTTTTGGAGTTTGTTTCTTTGTGTCAGATTAGGTCAATAGGAGTCATGAACTGATGAACTAATGAAAAATCTACCGTACATACTCTAATAATCTGGACATAATATACCTCTAATTAATGTGGTACAATATTTTATGACACTTCAAATGTCTAGTTTAATTTATCGTAAATTCGAATTTGTTGAGACAGTGATTTTAGATTTGAATTAGTTGAGACAGTAATTTCAGATATACATTAACTGTAGTCTAAAAGAAATGATAAATCTAATCAAAATGCATGTCGATTGAGTATAATTTGAAATTAGACTTTCTTAATTTCTTGTTTGAGTGAATAGAATTTTATCGTTTAAGACTCAAAAAGATTGTGACAAACATACATCATCTTTAAAAAAAGAAAGAACAAAAAAAAAGAAAGAAGAGCTTTTACGGTTCAATTATTAGTGAACCACGTGAGATACGTATACCCTCTCATGCACCGTGCACGAACAATAATTCGTCCAGAAATCATTTAAAGGACTCAACTTCATGTTTATATATAAATATGAGGAAGTCTTCGTCCCAAAACCAAAACTGACCACCAAGTACATTTCCTCTCAAGTACAAAACAATACTACAATAAATGAAATTATTATTTTAGAATGAAAGAAATAAGAATTTATGATGGATACTATTACAACTGTAGTACATGATAAAAAAGATAAGTTTTGATTAATAATTGCACAGACGATCGACGCTAATCTTATTCACGATCTCATGCTGGGACGTTGTCTAAATGAATCGTGCTTGAAAGCAAACGTTGTCCAGAATCACCCATCTCCAATTTATTAGCTTATTCTTTTCTCTTTAATTCATTCCAATATAAAAGAAGAAAGAGACAATCAATCACTATTCAGTGCCAAATGTCAATGACAATGCATGCATTAACATGCAGGGTTGATCAAACCAAACTGAGAATTAATATGATAAAGGCAAGAGAAATACGTTTGCGTAATGCCAAAATCTCGATCCAGAGTTATTAGAAGATAAAAAGGAGTTAAAAAGATGGAATCCTCATTCATATTTGTACATTGACAATGTGCATACTTATAAAAGTTCTACTACAACTATTTCCTGATATATTAGAGTATCATTATCTCGTACAACTATACAACAACCTACAAAAGATTTATAAAATCAAATATACAACTGACTAATACCGTCTCTCAAGTTGGAAGTTGTAAATGATTGCAAACGCCTAACTTGGATAAAAGAAACTTTAACTGGATAGAACCGAGAGATTTAGTAAGGAAATCAGCAGCTTGCAATGTCGTTAGAATATAGGAAGGCTGAACAAGTCCCAACTGAATTTTTTCCCGTATAAAATGGCAGTCAATCTCAATGTGTTTCTTGCGTTCATGAAACACGGGATTGGAGGAGATGTGTAAAGCTGCTTCATTGTCACAATGTAAAGTAACAGGGACAATATCAAACACCTGCAAATCATGGAATAAATTTTTAAGCCAAGTGATTTCAGAACAAGCATGAGCCATTGATCGATACTCAGCTTCGGCCGAAGAGCGAGAAACGGTGTGTTGCTTCTTAGTTTTCCATGAAATTAAAGAACCACCAATAAGCATGCAATGTCCAGAAATTGAGCGACGAGTAGTAGGACAAGTTGCCCAATCAGCATCATAGAAACCAGTGAGCTTAAGATTACAGTCCGAAGGATAGAAAAGACCTTGCGAGATTGTGCCCTTCACATATTTCAACACTTTAAGGGCCATTTGCAAATGCGTAACTCTTGGAGAAGCCACGAATTGACTTAAAATGTGGGCTGGATAAGATAAATCAGGCCGAGTGATGGTGAGGTAAATGAGACGACCTATAAGACGACGGTATCCAGCAGGATCATCAATTGGATCACCCACATCAGCACGCAAACCATGATTTTGATCCATAGGGATAGAACATGGTTTAGCTGTAGTAAGGCCAGCATCATGGAGTATATCTGTAGCATACTTTTGTTGATTCAAGAAAAGACCATTAGGAGTATGACGAACTTTAAGACCAAGAAAGTAACTAAGATGGCCGAGATCTTTGATCTTGAAGGTAGTATCAAGCATGACTTTCAATTGCTGAACAATTGTAGTATTACTATTTGCAATGATCACATCATCAACATAGATTAAGATAGCAGTAAAATCAGTTCCATTGACTCTAGTAAACAAGGAGTGATCACAACGGGATTGTAGGAAACCAGCACCAATAAGGGTTGAAGAAAATTTTGAAAACCACTGCCGCGATGCTTGCTTTAAACCGTAAAGAGATTTGTCAAGTTTACAAACAGCATTGGAAATACCTGAAGGGGCCTTAAAACCAGGAAGCAGTCACATATAAACTTCTTCATCCAATGTGCCATGGAGAAAAGCATTGTTGACATCAAGTTGAGTCAATTCCCAATTTTTGGCGGAGGCAACAGCAAGCAAAGTGCGAATCATTGTCATCTTGGCAACTGGAGCAAATGTTTCTTTATAATCAACACCTTCGGTTTGAATATATTCCTTTGCAACGAGGCGAGCTTTGTAACATTCAAGAGTACCATCAGATTTATATTTGAGCTTGTAAACCTATTTACTACCAACTGCCTTCTTTCCTGGGGGTAAAGAAGTGATATGCCATGTATGGTTATCCTCTAGGGCTGCAATTTCTTTGGCCATAGCTTCCCTCCAATTGACATCTTGAATAGCGGATATATATGAGTGGGGCTCCTCAAGAGTAGGTACATGACACAGAAAAGAAAATGCATTATTATCCAAATCAAGAGGATACGTACAAGTAGGGGCAGAAACTGAATTACAAACGTATTCATGCAAATAAAAAGGTTTAGACACAACACGAGTTGATTTTCTAGTGGGTTGCAAAGACTGAGTGTTAGCTGGACTAGGGGGGAGGTCATGATCATTAAGAGAAGGAGAATCATTATCATGAGAAAAATCAAATTCATCAAAATCACATGGAAATGGCAGAATAAAGGAGGCGTCATGGTGACGAGACGCGAAAGGAAAGACAGATTCACGAAAAATAACGTCACGGCTAACAAAAATTTTTGATGTTTGAAGGTCATAAACCTTGTAACCTTTCTGAGTATTTGAATAACCAACAAAAATACATTTAGAAGCACGTGGTGCAAATTTATCTTTGGGAGGAGGATTTGTGCTGGCAAAACAAAGACAACTAAAAACTTTTAAATGGGTATAAGAAGGGAGCTTGGTATACAACAACTCATAAGGAGTTTTACCATGTAACCCTCTCAAAGAAGCCGGTTAATCAAATAAGTAGCTTCAAGAATACACTCACCCCAGAAAATGATAGGTAAATTGGCATGAAATCTAATAGATCGTGCCATATCTAGGACATGACGATGCTTACGTTCAGCAACTCCATTTTGCTTGGGGGAGGGGGGGGGGGTGTAAGCACTAGAAGTTTGATGAACCACTCCTTTACTAGTGAAGAAAGATTTGAGTTCTTGATTGCAAAATTCAGTGCCATTATCGGAGCGAAAAATTTTGACAGTTGAATTGAATTGATTTTGCACATACTGAAAAAATTCTTAATGAGCTCAGGAACTTCATGTTTAGAAGCAATGAGTTGTGTCCAAGTAGAACGTGAAAAAGCATCAACAATGGTAACCAAATAACGGAAACCACAATGAGTCGGGATCCGATAGGGACCCCACCCCATACATCACAATGTACAAACTCAAAGGGATTATGGTAAAGAGTAGCACTAGATTCAAAGGAAAGATGAGGTTGTTTGGCAAGAGAACAAATTTCACATTGCAATTTTCGTACAAGTTTCAACTCATGAAGCAAAGTACGAATCTGACTCAATTTTCAGAAGATGCATGTCCTAAGCAATGATGCCATAAAGTGAAGAATCTAAGCACTTGGAAGCATTAGCAGAAATTGCTGGAAAAGAAACAGATTTATTCAATGCAAATTGGTACAATCCATGAGCTTGATCACCAATCTTCATTTGATCCTTCAGGGAAAGGTCCTGCAAGAAGCATGAAGTGGGAGAAAATACCACAAAACAATGATTATCTATACTGAGTTTGTGGAAATATATCAAGTTGATGTTGAATGAGGGAACATAGAGCACATTCCTCAAAGTAATCTGCGAATTTAGCTTAATATTCCCAAAATGGGTAACAACAACGGTATTCCCATTGATAAGGTTGTTTGAGACGTGAGGGACACAAGAGCAATGAAAAATTAGATGTAATATGATTACTCGCACCACTATTTTATAATCTACACGTCATTATAAATTGTAACATGAAGACAGTAACGAATACCTGAGAGACGATGATCAGTGGATGAACAACTTTGCTGACGAAGAAGAGTAAGAAGTTGGGTAACTTGTTCTTGAGTCAATTGAGGGGAAACAAAGCCATCGGATTGTGCAACCATTGGTGGAACTGGGTCATGGACGCGGTCATTGCCCGGCACAAGTTGATTTCCTAGATCACTTTTGAGAACAGCATGAACTGAAGATCTCGGTTGTTGCTGATTTTTGTTAATCCCTTTTCGACCACCTTTTGACTTGGAATTGGGAGGATAACCAATCAACTTATCACGGGAGCTACGGATATGGCCGTCCATGTTGCAATAGTCACAATGCAGATGTTTACGATTCAACACACTCATGTGAATTGGTTTGATGATGAGAGCTGTGAGAAACTTCAGCCATCAAGACATTCAGGAAAATGTGTGGGAACCAATTGCCTTCTTGTTGAACAATGGCATAGGCATCTTCAAGGGATGGGAGGATATCGCGCCGAGCAGCACTGTAACCCTCATTTAAACCCATGAGAAATTGCATAAGCTTTTGTTGTTCAATGTCTTCCAACCAGGCTTTAAGGATGATGCAACTTTCTCTAGTGGTACAAGCTGGAAAGGATTTCATGGCATTCAATTCATCCCATAGTTGTTTAAGCTTGGTGAAGTAGCCTTCAATATTAAGAGACTCTTGATTACACATAGCAATGGACCTCTGTAAACCAATAATACGGGTTGTACTCCCTTGAGCAAAACGTTGCTGAAGGTTGCTCCAAATCATGGTTGCGGATTTGCCATGAATGATTAATCCACCAATCTCTCGGCTAACAGCATTTAAGATTCATGATATAACCATATCATTACACTAATTCCATTGAGCAATAAGTTGAACATTAGAATTAGGTTTTGGATTTGATTAATCAACAAAACCTAGCCTTTTTCGGCTAGACAAAACAATCTCCATGGCTCGTTTCCATGGGATATAGTTAGAAGCGCCTACCAAAGGCTGATTGACAATCATCATCCCAGGTGAATCGGAATTATTGACAGTAATAAAATCCATCATTGGATTTGTGTGCACTATAGGAGAACTAGAAGGATTCATCATAGTGACTAGAAAAAAATGAGAAAGTGAAAAATAAAAAATTTAATTGCGAAAGCGTTTTTCTCGTGATACCATATTAGAAGATAAAAAGGAGTTGAAAAGATGGAATCCTCATTCATATTTGTACATTGACAATATAGATACTTATAAAGGTTCTACTGTAACTACTTCCTGATATATTGGAGAATCATTATCTCGTACAACTATACAACAACCTAAATAAGATTTACAAAATCAAATATACAACTGATTAATACTAGTATCATAAATGGGCTAGATTTTTGTGTCACGTTTAGCCTTAATGTCGAGATGATCCGCATTAAGGTAATCCATACATAAATATTTCATATAGGTCTAATAACTTGCAACGAAACCAATTTTTTAATTTACATTCACATATATTTCAACTTCAGACTACTATTATTATTGTCTCAGTTATATAGGGAAAAAAAAATTAAATAAACCCAAACTGGAATATGAAGATGTGAAGCAGAGCTAGCAGACTGTAGATACAACAAAGATATGAAAGCTGGTTTTTCATGGTTCTATTACCGAATCATACGAGTCATGCACATAGCTCCACAAACGAAACACTAAAAAGATTATGGATTCAAAGGATAAATAATTATTATATAATCTAGGATACTAAAAATCATTCCTTTTGATTCTACTTAGTGTACTTAATAATTGCACGCACTTTAACCAAAAAAAAAAAAAATACTCCCTCTGTCCCAAAATTATTGTTCAATTTGAGATTTCAGTTTTAGTATAATTTGAACTAGAAATAAAAATACAAACTGGACAATAATTATAGGACGGAGGGAGTAATAATAATTGCACGCACGATTTAGATCCATATTCGCCTTCTCTTGCTTGTATTAAGAAAATCTGCAATTACACTAACGAGTTATGTGAAAATCATTTTCTTTTGTACCATACAGGAATTAAAAGAAATCAATCACTATTTTCTGAATGATAATTAAATTGTACGTACTCATAATGCAACTAAAATATGAATCTGGATCTAAAAGGACCATTTAAATGGGGAAGATTGTGATGCCTAGTGATCTTGATGGCATGAGGTGATTCTCATTTATTGTTTGATGTCGGTGTTAAAGGAAAAAGTCCGTCAAAAGAATTTTAAAATGCACAAAGTTGTTAAAAATAAAAAAATTACATAAGGATATAACTGGAATGAAAAAGTAGATAGCAGAAAGGCCATAGAGAGTTCATTAACTCACAATTTATATTGCCTTCTTCTTGTTGAAATTAGGAGGAAGCCTGCCTACCCTAGTTAGTCATTCGTTGAAATTCATATTTTTGGTACAATTTATAAGGTAAAAGTCTAAGAACAAATTAGTTCCCGGATATGAAAACCTGTAATATCGAGTTTTAACTAAAAAATAATTTTCAATAGATGTATCGTAAATCTGTGCGTCGATGAGATCCTAAATAACCTAAACAATCCTCTAAATGTAATTTTAAGGGCTTTTTAAAAAAATTGTCTATTAGACTTTCGATCGAATGACATTAGTCTGGTAAGTGCCCAACATTTTGATAACCAAGTAAGACTATTCATCTTCCACAGAGAAGAATAAAGATTGTGCATAATGGTGTACTATAGTTGAACTTGTTATGATTCAGCATTATTTGTCCAGTCATTAGTTATATATAAATGAATAAACGTGAGTTAACTCAGCAAGCGGATTAGTCATTGTCAACAGTAAACACCGTGTTGTTTTGAGAAAAAAAAAAGAAGAAAAGAAAAATGAGTTGCAAGTATTAGAATTTGGGATGATTGAAATGCTTCTTCCCAAAGCGACTATTTCGCTTCTTAATGCAACTTTTTTCCTAGAGTTTTATTAGGAAGCTTTGTAGTTTCTGCAGACTCTAATAGATGAAACTTGAAAGCCCATCATGAGGTTATGGTTTGCCCTAAAATTGTTGAAGTTTGATTTGTTTTTGGGCCTGTCAAAAGACATGATCTACCGCTTGGGGCCTTTCAACCTTCAAGTATGGAAGGATTTATTAAACGCTTTGATGCAAAAATAATAACTGCACTAATGATCGTAGGAGGTTGAACTTCTCCACAGCCAGAGATTAGGTTAATTAAATTCCATTGAAATAAAGAAAAGCTCACTTTTCTCGCTTTTTTTGGAATTGTTTTGGTTTTTTTTTTTTGTTTTAAATCTTTTGGAGTTTAATTGGAAACTATTCATAATAGAAGAATATATTCGCTAAAATCTTATAACAGACCACAAATTTTAATTTATGTATCATTTGTAACGAATTTTCTTTCCATGAACGCCAATCCTTTCTTTTCACACATAAGGATGGATTGCTATCATACGTGAGTTTATCCATTTATTATTTAGGCTAAACTTATGCATGATTTTTCATTTTGCTTGTTTGCTAGGCAGATGTGGTACTGGTGCATTGGTACTTACTCCGGTAGAGTTGAAATAATTCCTCGAAACTTCTTCATTTGATCTATCAACTCAACCCCGCAAATATTATCAACCTTGATTTCTTTTTAATTTGAGTTGATCGAGATACCGAATACTCCCTCTGTCCCAAAATTATTGTTCACTTTGAGTTTTTATTTTTAATTCAATTTGTACCAAAAATAAAAAACCAAACTGGATAATAATTATAGGACGGATTGAGTATATATTTAATGAAAGTGCCTGAGCAATACTGAAAATATAAGAGATATATAATTCTCTCATTAAAGGTTGATAGAGTTTTTTTTTTTTTTTGCTTTTTCATACATTTCATACTTCAATTCTATTTGATTAATGCAAGACACGTGTTTAAAAAGTGTCTTGGTCATGAAAATTAAAAAGGGAGGGAAAAGAAAAGCGTCAGCATGAAATTCGAAATGTTGTCGAATCTTGGAGGAGCAAGAAGGGGACACAAAAACACTGAATTTGCAGCAAAAAATAAACTCATTCAACGAAATAATTATAAACAATGACGTTTAATGAAAGAAAATGTTATGGTTTAGACTTTAGGAAAAGCAATGCATGTTTTCATATTTGTCATTAGTGGTGCCCAAGAAAGACATGCAGCATATGATCATATCAAATCAAAACGTGATCTCTCTTTTTTGATGATCATTTGGAGAAAAGTCATGACCAATGATAAATCAATCTCTCTCTATAATGGTGCTACCTAATTAGTTGATATATATTATCAAATGGTCACAACACGTTCCCACTTAATGAGGGTTAATACTTAATTTGTTTTTCTTCTTCTTTCTTCCAAGTGGAATATCATGTCAATTTTGCGTTAAATCTGTACCCATCCTAGCTACTCCCAAAAATCAAAAGAAATTAAGAATAATAAGGCCACTCAAGGGGTTATAAAGGAGGTTCCATAAAATTAATTGAGCCACCGTGAAATGTCACACTATGACTACAATATGGTGAAATCGGTATTTTCTAGTAACACAAGCTTGATTTAGTTATGTAGATTTTTTTCAAGAATATTTTTAAGTATGTTCTTATCTTTATTTTTTGTTTATTTTTATTTTTTTGTACTAAGATGAATCTGCTTTATTTATCAGTTCAATTTATTGAACACAAAATCGGCTATCATCAATATATAATTGAAAGAATCCTAAATTAACATTACAATCGTTTACGCCTAAAGAAGCAAAAGTTACTAGACCGTCGACACGATGTCTTCTTTCACATAGACACAAACCTAAATCGAACAGTCAATCCATATAAAAGAAGTGGAAAAGAACAATAATGAAGATACATTATTCTGTTATTGTTCTATTATAAAAAAAAAAAATCATGCTATCAAGTCTTGGACTTTGACTCTTTGGCATACTTTTCTGGATTTTAAGAGCTTTAAATAAGTTCTCCAAAAGTGGATTTCTTGCAATTAGTGCATGAACCTGAAAAGGTTTGGCTATAGATCAATGCTCAATAAGATATTCAATCCACCTTTAATTTGTTTATTCCAAAGTGATGAGAGTACCACGTTGTAGAACACCTTAATTTAATTGAAGTATGCTTTGTCTATAAGAAAACACGAAATAAGGGTTTGAATTATGAAGAGGAAAAACAACACCAAAAACATAAATGGTGGGCCTGTGGGGATTGTGGATTGATAATTATGCATATCAATCCAAAGGCTCCTATCTAACAAAAGATGATGAATGCTAATTAAAAAAATCCAGCTTCTTTCAGAAATGTAGGAATAGAAAATTAAGAAGAACAGTTGCATTTTCGCTTATCCTGTCTTTTGGTTCCTCAGTTTGCCAAAAGCTCCAAAGAAACTCAGTCTATAATATTGGTATAGTTGCATCTTTGCACGCAAGAACAGCTTGAAAATGGGGGCAAGAATACCTGTATTTGCAGCTTCCAAAGTGACAAAGATGATGGACATCTAGCTCTACCATCAATTGAATGCAATATTAATAATACCTTGGTTGTCGTCTTAGCTAGAACTTTCGTTACTACAACAAAATTGCAAGAACATGAACCATTTTGTTAGTATTTCTAGACTGGTCCTATGTCTACTTTCCGGTTGGCAGTGCATTTTGGTTAGATCCTTTAATTGTGCATAGTGTAATATGCAACTTGCAAATTCGAAGCTTGAAAATTTTATTGCTAATTAAATAAATCCATCACTCTCACTTTTTTAAACCAGACTGTTAAATGAATAAAAGAAAGAAAATGACCTTATGTTTCCTTGTCCCACATGGATGGATGTAGACTTTTGAACTCAACATATATATCCCATGTGCTACTCCCCTCATTGCCAATTGGTTTTGTGGTGGAACCACATGTGAGCTTATTTGGGCCTTCAAGATGGTATCAGAACGGGTTTTAATCTGCGGACCTGTGGAACTTGTGGAGCGAGGTTTGACTTTAAACTTTGACTGGCCCGGCAAAAGATGGTTTATCCAGAAAAATAACCGATCGTAAAACTGAAAAAATTTATAAAAAATTGTATAAAATTACCCATCCAAGCCCATTGGGCTTAAGAGGGGCGTGTTAAATGAATGAAAGAAAGAAAATGACCTCATGTTCCCTTGTTCTACATGGATGGATGAGGACTCTTGAACTTAACATATATATCTCATGTGCTACTCCTCTCGTTGCCAATAAGTTTTGACATGAAACCACATGTGGATTTATTTGGGCCTTCAAGAGAGGTCGAAAATATTGACATGTTTATATTGAAATTAGGGTTTAAGACTTTAGTATATGCTACAATAGTGATATATATATAAAACAAAATTATCGTTTAACCAATAAGACACTATTTATTGAGACAGAGGATCTCCTCTCCTCATCTCAAGGTAGAGAGACTTTTAAAATTTCCTCATCAAACACTTACAACCCTTTCGTTGTTGTATCATAGAGCATTAATCATTTCCATCAACGGATTTTAAATTTAGCATCAAGGATTTAAAAATTTCAGTGCTCATACCCTCCAAGTCATACAAGTTCTCCAAGGTTTTGTTATACTATAGATAAGGCTCTTAGTTTATTAATCCTGGTCACAGAACAAGGAACACATTCTTACATTTGTCTCATACTATAGATAACTCTAGTCAACGGATCTCTTTTCAAGTTGGAATGGAAAAAATAATCAACTAGTATGCAGGGAAGAAGAAAAAAGAAACTAGTAGTATATCTGAAAGGAACTAATAATAAAGCTTTGAACACTAAGGAAAAACCACATTTCAAGTTCAAAAAAAGATTAATCAATCCAGTAGCACTTGATAGAGAGAACTGAATCCGAATCCAATTCAATTTCGTCTACAAGAAAATCTAATCATATTGCGCCTCTGAAGAGCAATTGAATTATACACAGTTTCTATAACATACCAAAGGAGAAGGAGATTTAGACCTTCTGTTTTTCTTCATTCACCCTGCCTTATTTTCTCCACATGACCAAATCTATGCTCGAAACCTTTGGAATAGAGAAAAGGGTCATGAAGAAGACTCAGAAACTCCCTCAGCTTCCACTTCTTTTCGATGAAAATTCCGGTGGCAGCCGCAGGCGGCGCAAGATAGCGCCCCATTTGTTCCTTCTTCACCACTTGCCATGAATTCCCTGCATCCATCAACAGCATAACCTCCTATGTTTGCTGCATGGTTCCTCTGGCACTCTGCATACCTCACTGAAACAGCAGTTTCTTCATTTCTATGATGAGATCTGGCCTCTTTCCTAACTACTATTTGCCTTTTCTTCATGTTTTTGCAAAACCCTATTTTTTTCTTTCTTCTGATCTTAATCAGAGAATTCTTCTCGAATATGGATGAGGAGCTTTGAGATGACGAAAAATAGTGAATGGTTAATGAGTTATTGAAAAGGAAAGCTGAGTCCTATAATGTAAGAAAAATAGGGGGCCAGAAAGCTTTTTTTTGTAGGGTGGCACCTTAACCAACCCTAAATATGTATACATTTATATAGGTGCGTTTTTACTTGAAAAGTAAAAGATGGTTTTGCCTTATTCAGTCATTATTGTAAAATTATTCCTACTCTTTTATTGTTTTATAGCTTGACTAGGACCACTTCTTCATCAAGCCAACCACTGTGGTTCTGCCTTGTTTTGGAGACTTTTAATTGACCATCATTCCACTCATTCACTGATTACCTAGTAATCATAGGTAAACATGATTAATCTGCATATTAAATTGATAATGAATAATTACCTCGGTGATTGATGTCGATGTCAATAATTATATGTTGATTTAACATCAGTCAATTAGTCATTGATATGAATGCTAATTGTGTAAGGTTGTACTGCCTCGATCATTGTACAAAATCATTCATTTTTCTTTTAACTATTATAACTCGATAGTCGATACAATACAATATTATTTTTGAGATAAATAAAATAGATTATTTAAACATTATTTCATGTTTTTATGTTTCGTTATCATTTATACCTAATGCCATCTCATTTTACTAATGTGGTAGAATGGTACAACAACAGAGAACGATGCATCTTCATTGAATCATGTCTATCATTATTGCGCAGGGCAATTTTTCTCACGTTCACTTATTTCTCCAAAGGTGGTGTCACTTTTTTCACATTAAACATTCATAATTAGTATGGTCTAAAAATTCTTAAAGCTCCTAAGGTGGCTCAATCATAGACGGAGGGTGGTCGATACACTACTACATTCTCTGTCATGTCCCAAACCCAACAAGTTTATTTTAACGACCCAAAGCGGTTGGACCCAAATCAAAGACAATTTCGTTTCAGAAGAATAACAAATGAAGAGCATTAGATTTAAACTTTACAACCCAAAAGACAACAAATTCAACATGGCTCTCCAAGGAAAGAAAGCAAGGTTTATATAAGGTGATCCAACCTCATTTACCCTGATTTTTCACCTTCTTTTGGCTAACAACGTTGGGTCTCTACCAAAATATGGTTAAATGTAAAAATGTATTGAACCGGTAGATTATATTGTATTAATATGACATATTTATAAGGTACATACACTAACAAATTGTAAGCTTACTACAATAGCTTTAAAAGTACAAGGGAAATAACTTACCTTGGCTTAAACAAGTTCTAAGTGATAGCTTAGAATGTCAAATAGTGATATATAAAAGCATATATATATATATATATATATATATATAATATACATATTATTTTTGTAAAGCAAGAGGTGGAATTGTTGTCCAGATCATTAGGCTAAGCCGTTGAATACAGGAGCCTATAATCAAGAAGGTTATAGGGTTTTCTCTTACTAGCTAGTGCTAACCCTAGTTGGAGACCATATATATGTTCATTGGAAATGATGTTTTACCTGCCTAATTGGAAAAATGAAAAATGTCTCAATTGGTCCAACCCCAAATCATCTGACGGGAAATTGTTTGCTTTACAATTAACAAAAGTGATAGATTCAATTCTAATTTCACATTTATGGGCCCTGATTAGTTTAAAAAAAGCTTAGCCATGGCCCCTTAAGCTTCTTGTCAATCAGAATGGTCTATTATCATCAATCAATTTATATAATACCATGATTCTCATAATCTCATAACTGTATGAGTAGACTTCTTAACTATGAGGAATCTTAACACTTCCACCAGCTAGATATGGCCTTATGAATTTTAATTTTTGTTTTATTTTTTGAGAAAAAAATGATATAATGATTCGATTGGATTAACATAACGTTATTTTCTTTTTCCCCATGCATAAGATTCGAACCTTAAAATGCTACGGACATTGTTGGTACAATAATGCAATAATTTAACCACGAACGTCCATACAATAATAAAATGACAAAGTGGTTGAGTATCTCTTTCAGTAAGTGGCAAGTTTAAGGATAGTATACGTTACTGGTCAATATTACAGATTTCCTATTTCATGTACACATTTTCAAGTTCCTAGAAAACTGGTTGTGCAAAATGGTAGTACTTCAAAAGATCAATGATTCAATATGTGATGTAAAGATTGAAGATGAGAATCCTGTCCTTTAACAAGTGCAAACGAGCAGACATTGACAAACATCACGAAACAAGAGCGCATGTGCACATTTTTGTACCCGCGGAAGGTTGTGACTAAGACCCTCTATATTATTTAATACAATAAACATGACAACTCTTAAAGATATATAGCATAACAAAATGGAGAATTAAAATAAAATAGATAAACAGAGTATGTATGATTGCATGGAAATAGCAGAACTGCAGCGAAAACATCAATACAACACGTGGGACGGTTAAATAGTACTTGATTTTACCTTTTGTCCTCAATCCAGTACTGAGAGTGATCTTCCAGGACGATTCGAAAGTTCAACATTTCCTTATTATTCCTAAAATTAAAAGAAAATGAGAATTCGAAAAACAATTAAAAAGGAGAGAAGAATGGGAATAACATTTGAAGACTACATTATTTTTTACACAATGGAAATCTTTGTAGATTGACTCGTATGTGACTTTCCTCCTTGTCTGAAATTTGTGAATCAACTGACGTTGATTTGTGAAAAAAAAATTAAAAATAAAAATTTGTGGTTCAATAGAATTGATTTACGATAGATTTATGGGACTGGCTATTTTCGGGATAATTTAACTGGATTATAAGATTAGTAGTAGAGGAGGAATGCAGGATAGTGATTTGGGATGAATTTGAAATTTGACAATGACACAATCGCTAGTATTCTTAAATGTACATGATCAGGAAATCATCATTTCTTTTCTTGAAGAAAAAAAAATGATACTATTTATGAATGCTGATCAGAAAATCATGATATGTTTTCTTGAAGAGAAAAACATAAATAAATAAAATAATAAGCAGAAGCAGGATAGAACCTGTTCTGGTACCGAGAAGACAATGAGAATTTGAAAAACAATTAAAAAGGAGAGAAGAATGAGAATAATGGACACAATTACAAAATAAAGTTGTTGTCTAGTTATAGGCATGTCTACACTACTAGATAAAAGTTACTATTGATAATTATTAAATCAAACTAATCTTGGTAATTACTAAATCATATCTATCACTCATGATAATTCTTTAGTAAAAATTATCATTAAAGTAAATCTTCTCTCAACTATTATTCATGGTGATCTTTAACAAAATTACTATTGCTTCTGTCTTAAATTATTCTCCAATTCAAATTATTACTAAAAATAAAAATCTAAACTAGACAATCATTTCGAGATGAAAGGAGTACAAGCAACAATCTAAAGAATTATACCAATAATTGGCGGTATTAAATGGTAATGAGTTTCTTCTCCTTTTACTTTTAGTGTTTGAATCTACATCTGGAATAAATCGTTAGGAGATCTTTATGGGAAGGTAACAGTGAATGATAACTTTGTCCAAAAAAATAATTCACATTGAGTTTTCAGATTTGTATTAATTTTAGTATAAACTTTAAACTCAATGTGAATATTTTTCGGACGGAGAGTATTTAGTAGGAGTAAAACATGCGTTTGTTTATATATAAACTCATAATCGATATATAACTTTGTTACATATTTCTTCTTATTAAGAATTTCTTAATGTTAAAATGAAAGAGAGAAACATTCTTTAACTAGAACGATCCATTTAATTCTTTGTAGGGCTGTTAAATCGGTTGGTTCAGCTTGGTTATGGTGAATTTAGTTTGGCTTAATCCGTTTTTTAAATTTCACTTCACCCGACCGAAACCAAACTAGAGTGTATACTCCCTCGAACTGAACCGATCTGAATAAGCATTTGGGTTTTCGATTCGGGGCCAATTATACCGAAATTACCATAAAAAAACCAGAAATCAAAGTTTCAAGTTTCAATTTCAAACTTAAAACTGAAAAGATCACCATCAAAAAAAAATAAAATAACAACACAAAAATGGAATGGAAATATGGAATGGTCACAACTCAATGTTTTCAAGTTTGAACACACAAATGATGAATGACTTCTGAACTGATCAACTCACAACACAAATGATCAACTTCAGAACTTCAATTCTTCAACTCACAACACACAAACACAGATGATCACAAATGGAAATGGTCATTACAGAATTACACAACACAAAGTCCAAATCTGAATTCAGAACATTCTGAACAAGTGAACGGAGAACATGATATCAGAACAGAACAGATCAACAGAATTGTAATAACTCTTCATTGTCTTCAACAGCAACAACAGCTTCAACAGTTGGCACTTGGTACAACAGCAACTTCAGTCTTCATTCTTCAACAGTTTAGTTGATCAGTTCAACTTCAAGCAGGCAACAGCAACAGGCAACAGCAACAGGCAACAGCAACAGGCAACAGGCAATAGCAACAGCAACGTTCAGAAAAAAAAAAAACACAGTCAGTCAAAACTCAAAAGAAACAGCAAAAATAAAGAACATGGAAGAAGAAAACCGAAGTAAAGTCTGGATTTTAGAACGTACCTATCACACTCCAGTTTTTTTTCCCTTTTCAGCTGGAAAAAAGAACAGTCATTCAGTCAACACTCAACTAAAAATAAACAGATGAATTAAAATCATAAATGTATTTAAAAATTAAAACAAATGTAACCTTCTTCCATGCGAAGGAGGTCTTCCCAACTCTCTTCAACACCTTCTTCTTCTTTAACTTCCCCCCAAAGGCAATCCTAAGTGCAAATAAAGAACTGAACAATCTTCGGAGCTAAAGAACTCCTATATGCATCCAACACCCTACCACTTGTGCTAAAACATGATTCCGAAGCCACAGTTGAGACAGGAATGGCAAAGAGATCACGAATCATCAGAAAAAGGATAGGAAACCTAGGGTTGTTCACCTTCCACTAGTTCAATAGATCAAAATTTGGACAATCTGGTTCATCATCCTCGTTTAAATACTTGTCCAATTCTGATTTTTCATTTCTGTTTAAAGCCCCACCAGCTTCTTCAACTTTCTTCTTCGCCAACTCCATCCTAAACGAATCTCTAAGCAGCTTTGAAAGCTCGATATCAATCGGAGAAGGTCTTCTCCCCGATGAAGTTGCTTGAGAAGAATTAGAATCG